GTTTACACGTACATCCAAGAGTTCTACCGCTTCCTGGTTGAAAAGGGCCTGGTCAAAACCAAAAAGAGGGCTTAGTCTCTTGTCTGTAATGCGTATTCATAACTGAGAGTCGGTGCTTAGAATTGAAGCGGATTTACACGGGGCAGAAGAAGTGAACCAATCTTTTTTTTTTTTCATCAGTGGACGCTACAGCTTCTTGTTTACTTTCAAACTTAGCTTGTAGCAGTCGTGTGGGATATCATGCATGTCTTGAGCATGATGTCTCTGATCAATTGGGGGAAAAATAGATTCTCTCCTCTTTCATCTATAACTGCTTCAAACAACAAGGCCTATGCAGGGATGGTGGTTACGATTGCATCACTGTCCATGTCATGTGTTTAAAGAGCTTTGTTACAGTTATAGCTCTTATGAAAGCACGATATAAATAAAAATGTATAATTGTATAATCTATATATAATAGCTGGTATTGGGAATGTAAAATATACTTTCAGTTTGTTTCTTTTAAGTATTTTCACTTTTTTTTTTTTAGTTAATTAAAAATGTTTTTCAATTGTAGTTTTTGTTTTCGTTGACTTAAATAACCTCGGCTGTAGCTTATTTTACAGGGCGTAACCAGCTATTGTTTTGTTTCACGTCACAATCAAGCCAATCTCTGTGTTGTCCACAAACAAGGATTTGCCACCAGAAATATTGAACAAATTGAAATTTTAGGTCAAATTAGGCCAGATTGTTTAGCGGTATGTTTATACCCTTCAGTTGTAATGACCATAAATATTTGTATGGAAAAAGTCTTAGGCCATAACGAATGAAATTCCTTACCTTTACTCCTACGGCTGGCAGGGTTGACATTTTTACAATAATCTTGTTACACTGTTTACACTCACTTGAAAAATAACTGAACAAACTATGATAGTTGACCGATTTTCAAAACTAGTAATCCATACGTTTGTTGTGTACAAGTAATAATACGATGAGACAATTAAACATTTGATTTCACTGACATAACGGCCCTCCGTGGGAAGACGTAACTCCAAAGTAGACCGTAACAAAAATGAGTTCGACACTACTGCCTATGTCATGTCGTATATACCTCTGTGAACAACATTTCTGTGCTATAATTGGGTCATAGTAAAACAAAAAAAAACGATTGGAAAGGAAGAGACTAATGTTTGACTGAAAGGAGGCTCTCTTCTCCTCCTCCCAAATCTCGTTGTAGCACTGCAGGTGATCCATGACCCCCTTGGAGACCCTTGCGTACCTGGCTTTTGACTGAAAGGAGGCTCTCTTCTCCTCCCAAATCTCGTTGTAGCACTGCAGGTTATCCATGACCCCCTTGGAGACCCTTGCGTACCTGGCCTGCCAAAATTCGGTAATAGTAAAACAAAAAGAGTGAAGTTACACACCACATATTTGTATGAATATGTCTATGCCTTGAATTATAAAACGTCGACCTGATGCGTTTATCCACACAATGAAAAAAAATAACAAGCAAAGATGATAATTCCTCTTGCCTTTACTCTGCTGATAGTTTGGGTCCTCTTCTGTCTGACTACTTTCTATTAAATGTTATTTAACCGAGTTCTGTTAATATAACACCGTCGTTATTTTTGCTCGTCATACATCGTAATGTCCAAAAATGGCATACGCTGACGCATTAGTGAATATTGCATAACCAAAGTTACAGTATGAAAAACGATTACATAAAAACTTTTGACGATATATTTACTCCTGTGTTTGGCCTTTACGTATCCTCATTAGGTGTTAGCAATTACTTAGGCCACGGCATCCATTGTGATGGAGGTCGCTGTTTGGTGGGAAGATGTGAGCCACTGTAGACATTGTATTATTTTTGCAATTTCTATCAAAAACACACTGAGATTAATTGGCAGACAGCATCATTGAGAAAAGACTCCACGATTTAAGGAATTAAATCATTTATTCCGAAAACAAAAACGTAGTATTTTCCAAACATGAAAACAATGTGAAACCACATAAAGAAAATGTCATGTTAATGTCCACGAATAAGTTGGACTTTAAATTTAAACTCTTCTTTTGAGTATTGAGGGAGTCCTCGCTTTAGGGTGGCATTCTAGTCTTAAAGTGGTGACATAACCTGGACTTCTATCGAAGTCTGAACATGTTCTAGTCTACTACTACATTAGCATCTGTTAAAGAGTCATATTAAGAGTCAATTCTGGTCTGAAAATCACTTTTGAGGTATAAAACTAACACATCCAGTGAAAAATGCCACATACGGCTTTTACTGTATTAACTGTGTGCGACGTGAGCATGTATTCTTTTGCCGTGGTAAAGCGAGGAAACCTGAATTTGCTGTGCTATTAGATGTGTACTCTACCATCCTAACTTCTCCTCCTCAGTAAAGCCAGTCCTGCTCAAGCCACCCAAAAATGCCCCACCTCTGCAGCCCCCAATGCTAAAAACGTCAAACAGATGCTTCTGGACTGGTGCAAGGCCAAAACGGAGCCATATGGGGTCATCACGGCCCCGCTGTGACTTGCTGATCCGCTCTGTCTTTTGTCATCACAAATGTGTGCGCTCTTTTAGGGAGTGGACATCCACAACTTCTCCTCCAGCTGGAAAGATGGCATCGCCTTCTGCGCTTTGGTGCACCGTTTCTTCCCCGACGCGTTTGAGTATTCCACCCTGAACCCGAACAAGGCCAAGGACAACTTCCAGCTGGCGTTTAGTACCGCAGAGTGAGCCCTCCTTCCTCGTGTCAGCGTATTGTGCGAATGTCCGTCTTGCTTTTTGCACCCTCTGATTTTACGGGTCCGATGTTGATGCTTCTTTGTCTGCAGGAGGCTGGCCGGCTGTCCCCCACTGCTGGACCCCGAAGACTTGGTCCGGATGAAGGAGCCTGACTGGAAGTGCGTTTACACGTACATCCAGGAGTTCTACCGCTGCCTGGTTGAAAAAGGCCTGGTCAAAACCAAAAAGAGGGCTTAGTCTCTTGGCTGGACATTCGCATTTAAACAAAGTCAAGTAGACACATTCGGTTTGCCGTGAAGAAATGGAAGGCATAGCTTTGGAACGTGATCATTAATGGACCCTTGATCAGGTACATCCACACAGACAGAGAGTGCAAAATCTGCCTTTTCAAACAATAAAATGCAGTTTGGATTGACACGATCGGAGAAGTATTCCCTGACTTATTGCAGAGATCCATTACGATGACACACATTTTCAGTTACAAAGGTTCATTTTCCAATTCAAGCAGTCCCTTTTATTCATGTTGTGGTCAGTGATAGATTGATCCAGAAGACAATCGTTTTGTCAATCTATTGACGTTAAATATTTTTACTTTATTAAAATGGATTAACGATTGTATGTGAAGGGCCACCTCCTCTCAGTTTATATGTTATTTGCATTTTCTTGATTGAAAGAAGGACAAAAATGTGTTAAGATCAGAAAATGCATTGTTGGGGATTGGAGGAAATCAAGGATTTTAATTGAAGGCTATTATCACCCTGCCTTCACATTATTGTTTCCATGGGAGACACCGGAAATGTTGAATTGAAGTTTTAGGTCAAATTAGGCCCGATTGTTTTGCTGTATGTTTGTACCCTCAAATGCAAATGGACCCATCATAGTTGAGTTGTAATTACAAAAAAAAAAAAAAAACATTTGTATGAAAAAGTCTTAGGCTATAACGCTAAATAAATTCCTTACCTTTACTCCGACGGTTAGCACGTACACACGTTGCGAGTATGTGATAGGAGAGAGCTGGAACTTGCTGGAGCGGTGGCGAGAGAGAGAGAGAGAGATAATGAAGAAACCGGGCAGGCTAAAGAAGGCGCTGGAGGAGTTAAAGAAGCCGATGAGGTCGAGTTGAGGATCTGTTTGAGTTCTCGCTACTTTTTAGTAGGAGATCAAGGCTGCAGGAGCTAACTAAGCAGTTGATTCAGATTCAGATTGCGAAAACTTTATTTATCCCCGTGGGGCAATTTGAGTTGTGCGAGAGCGGCTTATAGTAGAGACGTCGATATTTCAGGATCCTGCACAGGATCCAGTGGGGGATCTGGTGCAGGCCTCTCTAGCATCTTGAGGAGCTGCTTGAGGTTTGACTCGAAGGAGACCCTCTTCACCTCCTCCCAAATCTCGTTGTAGCACCGCAGGTTATCCATGACCCCCTTGTAGACCCTTGCGTATCTGGCCGCGTCTGCGTCCTCAGCCTTGAACTTAGCCAAGCCTTCCTCTATCAGCAAGAAACCAGCCGCCAGGCTCTTGCACGTGAACTTTTTGGCCTCCAGTAGCCCGCTTTTCTGCCTGCTTGTTATGGTCGATTTCATGTGCGGAGATGCCTTCACGTGCTCCAGGATGCGATCTTGAGCCTTAATGATAGTCACGACAGTAGAGCGACTTAAGTGGAGCGCGCGGCCGATGTTCGTCGGCGTTTCTCCCCGTTTTGATCGCTTCACGACATCTAACTTGACATCCATGGTGATGGCTTTCCTTTTCTTTGAAGTGTGGCCGCCGGAAGGCTCCACCTTGACCTTAGGAGGCATTACGTCAACAGGAAAGTCACTATAAAAAGAAAAAAACAACAACGTATAAGCACAGCAAACCAAAATGGCCAACGGTGCAAAGTGGGTGCCATAAGTTTCTCTTGAGTCACAACGCGTGAACGTACTCCAAAGTCGTTTCTACAACACCGACATAAGTTTTGTACAAACATAACCCGCTAGGTCAGAAGTTTCAAACGCAAGGCCCAGGGGCCAGATCCGCCCCGCCACATCATTTTATGTGGCCCGAGAAAGCAAATCGTGTGTGTCAACTTCCATGATCCTTGCTCAGATCTGTCAAATTGTCATGCGTAATAAATAACGTTGACATTTTTACAATAATCTTGTTACACTGTTTACACTCACTTGAAAAATAACTGAACAAACTATGATAGTTGACCGATTTTCAAAACTAGTAATCCATACGTTTGTTGTGTACAAGTAATAATACGATGAGACAATTAAACATTTGATTTCACTGACATAACGGCCCTCCGTGGGAAGACGTAACTCCAAAGTAGACCGTAACAAAAATGAGTTCGACACTACTGCCTATGTCATGTCGTATATACCTCTGTGAACAACATTTCTGTGCTATAATTGGGTCATAGTAAAACAAAAAAAAACGATTGGAAAGGAAGAGACTAATTACTTACCTTTACTTGGCGGTTTTGGCACGCGGCCGATATTCGTCTGCGTTTCGATGGCTGCACCGTGTTTAGCTTCAAATCCAAGGTGATGGCTTTGATTTTCTTTGAAGTGTGACCACCGGAAGATTCCGCCTTGCCCTTTGGGGGCATTGCGTCATCTACAAAGTCACTAAAGAAGGAAAAAAAAACGAGTATTTATAACCGCAGCAAACCAAAACGGCGAACGGCGCAAAGCCGCGTCGTCACGACGCGACGAGGTATTCCGAGGTTGTTCTTACGACACCAACGTAACTTTTGTACGAACATAACGTATCGATGTCATGCCGTATATGCGCGCATGAACAACGCTTCTCTGCCAAAATTCGGTAATAGTAAAACAAAAAGAGTGAAGTTACACACCACATATTTGTATGAATATGTCTATGCCTTGAATTATAAAACGTCGACCTGATGCGTTTATCCACACAATGAAAAAAAATAACAAGCAAAGATGATAATTCCTCTTGCCTTTACTCTGCTGATAGTTTGGGTCCTCTTCTGTCTGACTACTTTCTATTAAATGTTATTTAACCGAGTTCTGTTAATATAACACCGTCGTTATTTTTGCTCGTCATACATCGTAATGTCCAAAAATGGCATACGCTGACGCATTAGTGAATATTGCATAACCAAAGTTACAGTATGAAAAACGATTACATAAAAACTTTTGACGATATATTTACTCCTGTGTTTGGCCTTTACGGCGAGGTTCACGGGGAGACGCCGCTTTTGCTGGTCCTCCAGCCAAAGCACAAGTCGTCTTTCCATCTCTATCATTAGCCTGCTGTTCTGCTTGCTTATTATGGTCGATTTCATGTGCGGAGATGCCTTCACGTGCTCCAGGATGCGATCTTGATCCTTAATGATAGTCGCGACAGTAGAGCGGCTTAAGTCGAGCGCGCGGCCGATGTTCGTCGGCGTTTCTCCCTGTTTCGATCGCTTCACTATGTCTAACTTGACATCCATGGTGATGGCTTTCCTTTTCTTTGAAGTGTGTTCGCCGGAAGGCTCCGCGTTGACCTTAGGAGGCATTACGTCACCTAGAAAGTCACTATAGAAAGAAAAAAACAACTATGTATAAGCGCGGGAAACCAAAATGGCGAACGGTGCAAAGTGAGTGCCGTAAGTTTCTCTTGAGCAACAACGCGGCGACGTATTCCGAGGTCGTTCCTACGACACCGACGTAACTTGTACGAACATAACATACGCTACGTCACAGATTTCAAACTCGGGGGCCACATCCGTCCGACACTTAATTTTATGTGTGTTTATGCGAAAGCAAATCATGTGTCAACTTCCATCATCCTTGCCCAAATCTGTCCCGAGATGTCAAAATTTAGTGCGTAATAAATAACATTGAGGTTTTTCAATAGTTTTGTTTCCCTGTTTACACCCAGTTGAACAAACTATTATAGTTGACTGATTTTCGAAACGAGTAATCCATCCATTTGTTGTGTACAAGTAATAATACGATGAGACGATTTAACATTAATTTGGTTTCACTAGCATAACGGCCCTCCGAGGGAAGACGTAACTCCAAAGTAGCCCGTGACAAAAATAAATTCGACACAACTGCCTATGTCTTGCCTCATATACATGTTTGAACAGCATTTCTGCTCTATAATTCGGTAATAGTCAAACGAAAAACCGTTCGAAAGGGAGAGACTAATTCCTTACCTTGACTTGGTGTTTTTGGCTCCTAACGTGTGCCGCGTAACGATTTATTCCCAGTTCCGTTTTAAGAAACGGGATTTTCTGGACGTAAAACAACGTGTTTTCTATCCACTTAAACGACGTTAATGCTTTTGCAAAGTCATAATAATAGCAAATGCTTGTATGAAAAACTATTCTCGAATATAAATGAAAGTTTGAGATTCGTCCCTCAATGTATTCTTACGCGACTACACAATCCAGTTCGGTGTTTTCGAACTTTTCTACGCATCCATCCGTCTTAATCATTAAACCTGGCCCAGCTGAAGTTACACACTACATATTTGCATGAGTAGGTCTATTGCCTTGAATTACAAAACATCTGATGCGTTTATCCCCACGATCAAATAAAAAAACAAGAAAATATTATAATTCCTCTTGCCTTTACTCTGCTGATGGTCTGGCTCCTCTTGCCTTTACTCTGCTGATGGTTTGGCTCGTCTGCTGCCTGACTGCGGTCTGTTAAATGCTCTTAAATCGAGTTCTGTTATTACAACACCGACGTAATTTTTGCACGTAATACAGCGTAATGTCAAAAACTGAAATACGCTGACGCATTAGTAAATATTGCATAACCAAAGTTCCAGTATGAAAAACGATGACATAAAATGTATTAGCTATATTTGCTTCGTCTTTGTTCTGCAATGTACCCTCGCCATGTAACCTAGTTCCGAGTTACGTACCCACGACGCCGACGTAACTTGTACGTAACACAGAACTCCGTATCACTAACCTACGATCACGCTGTTGTAAAGTCATGATTACACTTAAAAGTTTCTGGAAAAAAATAATGTACCCTTCATATGAAATAATCAAACAAACAAAAAAGTTGCAAATTAAAATATTTCTGGTCTTTGCTGAGTTGGTAGATGCACTGCAGTGCCGTGTAACGACTTCGCCTCTATATATATATATATAGATATGTGTGTGTGTGTGTATATATTAAACGTCACTCGTAAATTGCAGTTAGTGTAGACTAGAACTGGAACCTACAAAACATGACACCATTGCATCATCCTGATAACTGTTTCGAATATTTTCACTGCTGTAATAACTTCAGACGATGCAATATGAATATTGTTCAAAATAAGTAGATTGTGTGTGAGTACAGTATGGCAACATTAAATAAGTCGTTTCTTACTCTTGTGCATTTTTTAATTCATTGGGACTACATTTTTTCCACTGGAGTAAAAAAAAGTTGCATATTAACCGAGCTATCACACACTATGAAAAAATACCCTTAGATACCTGCAATTGAGAGTCACCCATTAATTCAATGAATATCAAAGTAGAACCTTGTGTCAGTGTGTTAAACAAATGAAGGCAGGTCCCATGCCCTCGGGCATTATCATCATCATTTATTAACACAGCCATCATTTGGGTCCCTTTTAGACGAGTTGCAGTTGTTTCAGTGACCACTAAGTGGCAGCAGGCTCCAATGAAGCTCTACATTTTTTTTACCCCAATTCATATTGTGTGAAAGAGCCACACATCAAGCTCTGTGACTTTCTTCTGCCAAAATTCTCAAAGGATAAAGTATCACAACTTTCTTAATATCTGCTTTTCAAATTCACGTTAGAACCCAGAGATTACAATCATAAGATTTTTACATTCCACGTCCAGACTGCAAATGCGTGGAGCCACCATTGGCTAATTGAACCGTTTAATTGTGACGTCACCATTTGGCAAAATTCAAACCTCCCAGATACAGCTTTGGAAATTAACAAGCATTTCTTTTGTACAGTGTATTTTTAACGATTGAATTTTGTCCTTCCTGTGTTCTAAGTTAATTTCATTGATTTTATTTGGAGTAAGCTGTATGTTTCTTCAATTTTCAGAACTCGTCTCTTTTAACGATTTTTCTTTGAACAACAAATCAACAATAAAATAAACGTATTGCCTGTTCTTTTTTTAATTTAAATAATAGCTGTTATATATTATTTGTAGAATACAGACATCTGGTTTCCAGTTCCGATTACTCAATTTATTTTTCTCAGTCATCATGTGTGTCAGATTAAAGTAGATTTAGTGGTAAAAGGATGATCTCTCCTATATATGAAATGCATGCGTCACCGGGAGAGTGAGCGGTAGAGCGAGTTGGTGGGGTGGGGTGGGGGGGGGCTGACGTGCAGGCTGCTGTGTCCAGCTGCACCGTGCAACATTAAGTCGGATCAGCTCCATCATCACCACCACCATCATCAGTCAGCATGTACAAAATCACGTGACCGCCTCCTGTCCTGACAGCCGGGTGGCACCACCGCCATCACCTCTCTCTTCGCGGTCCGGTCCTCCATCCTCCCATAAGGAATTTATGAGCAGTGCTCGGCGGTTCACCTTGCAGCAGAACGCATGAAAGGTAGGAAAAATATGATGAATAATTTTTTCCATTTCAACATCACTGTCTCACGAGACTCAATTTGGAGTTGTATGTCAAATTCTACCTTTGCAGGGATAACGGTGCCGTGTTGATGATGGATTTGAGCCTTTGTGGATGCTAATTTACATCTCATGAATAATTTAAAGGGTGCTCGGGTAAACAACAGAGTGGCGGTGGGTTTTGATGGTTGGAGGGTAATGGTGAGTCCTACCTTTTGACCTGTCTGAGCTCAGCTACATTGCATTTGTCCTCCATTGCCAGAAGGAGGTCAGGCTCTAATTAACATTGCTTAAAAAAAAAAAACAAAAAAAAAAAAAAAATAAAGGAGGTCAGGCTCTAATTTACATTGCTTAAAAAAAAAAAAAAAAACAGGTCCAAACTTAGTTCTTCAGCCCCCATTTGCAGACTCATGATGGCATCATCAGTGGATGTCTGGGGGATCGCTTGGTGGTGTCATGTAGAAAAAAAAAAACTCAAAGAATTGGACACTACAAGGAAGTACGATTGGACTAGTGGTTAGCTTGTCTGTCTCATAGTTCTCAGATTCTTGGTTGAAGTCTCAGATCAGGGTTTGCATATTTTCCCCCATGCTTGCGTAGGTTTTCCCTGGGTATCTCGGCGTCCTCCCACATAAGACTCTAAATTGTCCTTAGGGTTAGCATATGTCGTGTTGCACCTGATCTACTTCACAATTTCGACGGGAAGCGGGCCACTTCAGATCTTGTCCCAGTCAGCCGGTGCAGAATCCAAACAGCAAGAGCCTCAGATTCAGTCACTTGGCCGCTTCTCCAGGCGGGCAGAGGAGGGAGTGAGAGAAGAGAAACGGCAGCAAAACAGGCCTTTGTGTGGTTTAACTAAATGCAAGGTGAATAAATATAAAAATAAGTCTTCCAAGTCGGGATCTGACCTTCTGCTCAATGCAGGTTCTCCTCTTTTGCGCAGTTAAAACTAAAAAGGCATCTCTTGGTGTTTCCCAGCATTTATTTAATGCTGTTTTTTTTTTTTTTGCAGGTCAATGGATCACACAAGGCAGAAACCACCCACAGCACTCTCACGTGTGCAACCCGGACCCTGTGGGCAAACCACACCAGGTCCAGGTCCGCCTCGACGACCACCAGTCATTGGACAATCAGCGTCTGTGCAAGACAACCACCCTGCACTAAACCCTCCTGCGGCGAGAGACCAAATGCAAATCAAGTCCGGTTCAGCCCCCGTGGCGCTGACCAACATAAGTCGACCGAGACCCACAGCCCTCGGGACTAAACCTGTTCCCAGACCCACCGGGATCCCTCCCAAGGATATAGATTTGATGCCAGTCTGCATCCCGGGACCTCAGAGTGCCAACATGCTGCCTCGTTCCCCGACGGAGTCCTCGGTGTCTCCTCACAATCCACAAGCCTCCCTGATCCCCAAATCAAGTCTCAATCCTCCACCTCCTGCCAGTACAATACAAGGGCAGAGCGACAAGACTGCTGGTGATCACAATGACTTCAGGTGAGAGTACAACCATTGACGCCTTTATTGACATGTTTGTCTGCTCAGAACTGTCCATCTGGCCATTGTGTAGAAGTCGCAATGTTGTGTTCGAAGCAGCTGCAGTACGCAAGGTAATATGTGCGCGCGAAGGCGTCCTATGAATCAAAGCGGCTCTTTCCTCTAAAAGCTTCTTGCTGAGAGCGAGAGAGAGAGAGCGACAGAGCTGCAATCAATCCACTTGGCAGTCTTCCCATTGGCTCCATTGCCCATAAACAGAAGCAGCACCTTTTTAATACAATGCGACTTGCTTTTTCGAAGGAGGACAACATAGCAGCCTCATGGCCTGAAAATGGCTGCTGCAGTCGATATAAAAAATCTGCACACCCCCTGGTAGGTTTACTGATTTTACTGATGCCGGCCGAGTGTCAAGAAGTTCTTTTCATTTTCGTCTTTAATATTAAATGTTTATTGTTTTATCAACTTAGATTGCTCATTGAATCTCCATAACATGTCCAAAAAAAAAAAAAAACAACATCAAAGTAATTGTCTTCAAGGCTTGCGTAACACAGTATAAAGGCGCTAAATGTGAACTAATCATTGAAATATACAAGGCCATCACCCAAATGGGGTTAAACAGGAGCCTGTAACAATGGATAAAATTGGGGTACCCAAGTCCGGTCATCCACAGCCCCTATCCAGACTTTTTAAAAATGTCTTCCTCCTCCTACACACCTGATTCTAGTGATCAGCTTCTTTGTTCTGCATCAAGTATCTCAAATGCTTTTGTCTCACGCTCTGTAATGATGCCCCCAAATTCTTTTGAACTTTTGTGTTTTATTTTGGGACGTGATCGTGGTCAAGTCAAGCGCTGGATGAGATAAATCAAAGTCTCCATTAAAGTGAAGCTCACCATCTGCCACTGCTCTTACCTATAGTATATCTATTCTGGCTTTGTGTTATATGTAAGACATGTACTGAGAACACTTTTTTCCCCATCACTGAAGTAAAAAGAGGGATTAATACCGCTTAACCTCGATCTCTCAATCCAGCCACACTTTGAGCTCGAGCTGCCACGTTTCACTTTGACCGAAAGTTAATGCGGCGCATTCACTCTCACAGGGTCCACATCGCCACATGGAACGTGGGCTCAGCCGTCCCACCGGATGATGTCAGCGCTCTGTTTGAGCCCAATGTGGCGGATGGGAGCGTTGACATGTTTGTCATTGGGTAAGCGGGGGGTGACTATGCCAGGGTGCCCACTCGTCCATCTGTCCCTCTTCTGAATGACCATTTTTTTTTTGCTTCGATTTTCAATTCTCACACTGTGCAGGCTCCAAGAGGTGAATTCCATGATCAACAAGCGGCTGAAGGATGCTCTTTTCTCAGACCAGTGGAGTGAGCTCTGCATGGACACGCTCAGTCCCTTTGGATATGTCCTGGTTGGTCAAGACTCATTTGATTTACTGTATTTAATAATAATTTAAAAAAAGAAAAATCTTCCAAGGGCCCAGCGGTCATAGTCCTAACACGAATCAAACAAAACTTACAGTGGTGCCTTGAGGTACTCCCAAAAAATAACACAACATGAACGTAATGTGATTTTTTTAAAAAGCAAAATACGGCTATAATATTTTTTAAAAATAGAATATTCAATTTTTCAATTCAATTCCGTGGACATTATATTGCTCCTTCTTGTTTGTACGCCTTGGCCACATGAGGGCAGTAGAATACAAGCATGCAGATATACATGCACATGAAGAAGCTGGTCAAAACTCCCGAGTAAGCCACAGGAATATTCATCCTTCTTTGCAGAGGATAAAAAATATATTCATGTGGGTTTGCTATACAGTATTAACTGTCCACCTGTGTTACTCCACTCTTTGTGTTCAAGTATCCATTGCTTAAAGGCATATAACACTGTGACAGCGATGCTATTTGTTAGTCTGTCTATGGCGTTTTGCATTTTTTCACCCACGGAAGCAGCACTTCATCACTGAGCCAGCCTGTTACATTCGCTAAGTTAATTAGTGAAGTGGATCCGTGCATGTGGTGCATGCAGTGCCAAACACAAATGTGCAATACATTGAATTTGTCTTCTTATTAAGTGCTATGCTGTGTCAAAACGAACAAACAATTCCAAACAAACAAGAACATCTCGTCATGTTCTACTTTTTGTAAATAATGGTGTATTGCGCGTGAATTTGTGTAGCTGTTTTTGTCTGCAGGTGGCATCGCAGCGGATGCAGGGCGTGCTGCTGCTGGTCTTCTCCAAATTTGTCCATCTTCCATTCCTCCGAGGCGTACAGACACAGAGCACTCGTACAGGACTCGGCGGGTGTTGGGTACGTACGAGCCACACGCTGCTCTTGAATTTACGTCCTTGCGCAATTTGCCATCGCGCGCTTGCGTCCGCACGGTGAAACGAGCAGGCTTTGAAAAGTGGCGCACGCCAGCAGGTGTTTGCGAGTGTGGATATGTCAGAGCGTGACCTTCCGCACAAGCGTCGATGTCGACGTCGCACCAGTGTGGTGATGCTGCAGTCTCCTTCGTTTTTAGGTCAGCGCTGCAGCAGGCGTCTGGCTCGCTGCTTTGAAAACAAGAGCAGCTAAAGGGTGACTTACGCCAAGGTTGTGGTGTTCAGTCAAGAATGAATTTGGACCGTGGCATCATTTACATATTATGATAACAATGCACAGTACACTGTGTCATGTATATGCTTCAATTCACACATCACTTGAACACATAAAATTAGCGTCAACCTGAACAACGTGTTAATGAAGTTGCGTTGTTGCTTTTCCTGCTTTTCCAGAGGCGTTTGCTCTGTGCGTTCTCTGCAGGGGAACAAAGGTGGCGTTAGCGTACGGATGACCGTGTTTGGACATCCCGTGTGCTTCCTCAACTGTCACTTGCCCGCTCACATGAGGAACTTGGAGCAGAGGATGGAGGACTTTGAGAGCATCCTGCAGCAGCAGCAGTTCGAAGGAGGGGCTGCCACCGGGGTTCTGGATCACGAGTGGGTGCCTTTTGTTCATGCACCAGAAAACAGCAGAGAATGTATGAATGCTTGACGTAATATCTTCTGTTTCCCTAGCGTTGTGTTTTGGTTTGGAGATCTAAATTTCCGAATTGAGGATTACGACATCCATGTGGTGAAATGTGCAATTGACAGCAATAAGCTCCCTCTACTGTGGGAGCGAGATCAGGTGAGGATCATCATCATCATCAATATAAGTTTGTTTGTTGTCAAATTTGCATGAGAGGCCAAACGCAAAAGCGTTGATACACAGGTCGCTGGATTTTATTGACCTGACTGCTTAACACATCAAAGTAATTAGCCGGCCAGTTATTCCCATTCACACGCAAATATTTCCCGCTTTTCCCATCCACGTAGCGCGTGCGTAGCATTCACGGATGTGCTTTTCCCACGTAGATACGTCACACGAACCGAGATGGGAGTGCCATTCAAACACTCCTCTCTGCCGATAAAACGCCATGGCCAATTCGCAGACACCGAAAGTGATGTGGATGTTTAACAGCTGGAAGGAAGCCTCTTTTGTTTACTATCTTTCAAACTGCTGCTTGGCAGTCCGGTCTGCCTGCAGGAATTTGCGTTGGGTCAAGAGTGAAGCAGCAGATGGCACGAATGGGATTTTTTTTTTTCTTTTGTCTTATGTCCAGCTCAACATGGCCAAAAGCACAGAATCCATCCTGGAAGGCTTCCTGGAGGGTCCGCTCAAATTCCCGCCTACGTATAAGTTTGATGTGGGCACACACACCTATGACACAAGGTCTGCCCATCATCATTCGTATGAGTCACAGCCTTGCCCTTTCATTTTGTGACATTTGTGCAGAGAACCTAAACACCGTTTTTCACATTTCCACATGTGGTTCAGCGCTAAAAAGAGGAAGCCCGCATGGACCGATCGTATCCTCTGGCGCCTCCGCCGCACCGGCTCCCCCGTTCCTACCCACAATGCAGCACTTCAGAGGGGTCTGACCTCCTGGCTGGGCGGCGCAACCAAAGTGACGCAGCACGCTTACAAGAGTCACATGGCCTTCACCATCAGTGATCACAAGCCAGTGTCGGCCATGTTTTCCTTGCAGGTGAAATGAATATGTTACATATTTGAAGACTGCAATCACATGTTGCTATGAAGTGTGGTTTATTCAAATTAGCTTGCTTCATTGAATTTCACCAAGTACTCAGCCACCCCCCTTTAAAACACAATGTTGATGTTCATCCTATGTATGATGATAATATTGAAGACACTTTTTAGGAATCAAACCTCAGTGCTGTTTTCGATGAACACCTAGGCCCACTACGCTATTGCATTTTCACACTGGTCATGATGGTGATACTTAAGAGATCTAAACGTGCTTTTTTTTTTCTTCTTTCATACAAATGTTTTGGCTTTGTTTGACTTTATTTATTTATTAATCAATGACATGGTTGTCATAGTTCCCATTCAGGGTGGACATGCCTCTGGTGGAGATGCAGGCCAACAAGGAATGGTTCAAAGTCTCCGATGCCAGCGTCAAGTTCACTTTTGCATCCAGCTATCATCGCAGCTCTTGGGACTGGGTCGCAATATATAAGGTAGCGTCAAAAGCATTTTGATCTGATTGCCTGCGTCGTCACTGATGCCATTTATGTCTGTACGCAGGTTGGATTCAGACACTACAAAGATTACCAAGCGTATGTGTGGGCCAAGGGGGAGCATTCAGGGCAGGTGGGCCACATTTTGATATTCATATTTCTGGGATCAGGGATCATTTCTGTCCCCAACCCCCGCCCCCACCCTTTTTTCCAGGTGTCTTTTTCAGAGGAGGATTTGCCAAGAGATGATTGCGAATACATCCTTGGCTTCTACAGTAATAATATGAACAGCATTGTTGGATTATCGACAAACATCCAGGTATAGTGTTTTGCTGTTACCTAAACATATACATGACAACGGATGCCTTTTCTTAAGAAATCAACCCCCAAATTTTCTTTACAATATATTCTATGCAGCCTGAACAAAAAATAATGCTCTCCCTAGAAAAAGAATTTGACCAAAGGGACATGTTAAACCAAAGCGTGTCCTCTCATTAGCATCGCAGATGTCTTCAAACCTGTAATCAGTTTAAAAGGGTGATAAGTAGTCACCGTACTGTTTGGTTAGATGGTGTGTACCACACTAAACAAAGACCATTGGAAGCAAATGAGAGATTTGTTCCCGATTAGACGGAATATTATCGGCAAGAACATTGTTTTGGCGTTGGTATGTTTTGACAGGCCATCAGTGTATTAATGTCCGTTGTCTTCCTGGATAGATCAAGCTTCCAATCCACAGCCCATCAGCACACCGCTCCGACAGCTCTGAGATAAGCTCGGAAGACGACAGCACCTTAGTCTTGCTGGCTCCAAATTCCCGCAGCCCGAGCCCCAAACCCTTGAAGCATCATCACTGCCGCCACCGTCGCAGCCGCAGCCCCGCCGTCCCGGCTCTCTCGTCCAATCCCCTCCCTTCCCTGCAAGGTCTCAGCCTGTGTCCCCTACCCAAAGAGACAGGTAGCCGTTCACCCGGTACCACCTCTAAAAAGGAACGACTGTTTTCCACTGGGTCTCTGTCATCTCCGTCCGTCAGCCCTCTCAGTCCCCGGAGCCCCCTGTCTCCGGGTGGCGGGGTCACGGCACCGGAGGCCCTGATTGCCGCCATGTTAGGGGAGCATAGGCCTGCTCAGGTAAGCCCCACGGAGCTCAAACAGCTTGGACATGCAGGGAGAAACAATCCTTCATAGAGGAGATGAAGACTGAAGTATGTTACGTGTGAGCAACCCTGAAATTCTGTATTTTCAAAGCATCTGTGTTTATCTGGGAGTCACATCCCTCTGACAACGTGCTTTAATGTGTAGAAACACACATTGAATGTGAAGCTAAACATGCTGGCAAGGCAAAATCAATCCGGTGTATTTGATGTGTGTGCTGGAAAACATGCATTTGGAATTAGAAGAGGGTTTCAAATCGAACCATCGTCCGTATTCATACCAAATTTAACATTGAATGAATTGAACAACATCAGCGGTATAGAAAATGGATGACTGGAATTGCAACTTGGAAAGTAACTATTAGATCGGGGGTGGGCAAAGTATGGCACGCTCACCAAATGCGGCTTACGCTGCGACTTTCATCAGGCCCACCAAGCAGTGACAAAATTTTAGACTACATCTAACTCTTGGTACAGGTGATGTCATGAGAACTTGGTGTATTTGATCAAGGTTAGGTACCATCCCACAATGGCGCCAACGCCCTATCATGCCCAATTCGACCCCGATTAGTTTTTTGTGTGTGGTTTCCTTGAAAAATCATCTGTTTACATTCTTCTTGCCTATCTGCGTTTGCTAATAAAGACTAAAAAAAACATAATACACTCTCTGTATGCAGCTCTATGATCTCGGGATTAACACATCTGCATCACGGTTCAGAGGTTCAAACCTCAGCCGCGGGTTTTGTCCAGGTACTCTGACTTCTTTTCACGTGTCAAACATGCCTGTCAGCTGTTGTCCACTTGTGTGAATGATTGTTCGTCCATATGTGCCCTGTTGTTTACAAGTTGTGTATACCAGATACAAACAGGACACGTTGCAAAAAGCGAGTCTATACCGCAAGTTGGACTTTTGTTACCAGCAGCAGCAGACGGTAAACAACCCGCTGACACCTCGGATCTATAAAGAACATCTAGTTGAGGTTGACAGGGACACGTGAGGCTTATCGTGTTTTTTTTTCTTTTTTAAATCAAGAGAAGGCGACACTATTTGGATTAGCGAGGCTTTGTAATTGCCAAAGCAGACAGGCAGAAAGGCAGGCAAGATAAACCTCACTGGATGAAAAAAAAGGAGCAATGACATCACCATATGAAAAAGTGTTAGTTAAGACTAGCTATGAGGTTTATTTGGTTCTGTTCATGTAAAGGTTGTCCTGTAAAATAAATGTACTAAAAGCATATTGTAGGTTAATCTGTGTAAAATTATACAAAAATGAGGTGTAGATCTTGAAGTTTTGTTTTTTCGCCACTATCTTTGACATATGCATCTTTAACACCAGAGAAGGAAGTCGAGCAGTGTTTTCTGGTGAACCAGGTGTCCAGGGAATCGGGCAATTCTGACTAAAATATCCCAACAGCAGAATGCTCCAAAAGTCATGATACACTTAATTATTTTCATTGAGACAGATGCAAGGTCATAATTTGACGCCTTGGCAATTTGTGTAAGCATATTCTCTTGCTGTGTTATCATTCCAGTTGACATAGGAGCAGCTTTGCTCACTGATGAAAGCAATGAACTCTGTTCACACGAAGCCACGAAAATCTATATTAAGGAGGGCCGCACTGGACCCTCAGTATCAAAAAAAGTTAAATTCAGCAGATGCTTCGGCAAGTAATAAAGCTTTTCCCATATAGACTTCAGGTTACTGAGCATCATCATCTTCCACAACCTGAAGTGGACAGCCTTTCTGTCACTGTTGGTCCCATAGCTGTTTACACGCGCACGCCCATCTGCGCCACATGGTAGCACATGCAACTTAATAGGCTGCACTCCACATAGGCCACTCCTGCCTCCACACATGAAAGAACCCAAGCAGTCCAACCAGTTTTGAGATCAGCAGCGGCGGGTCGCCTGAAGCACGACGCCGGGTGTTGGGTTTTTATTAATCGTGAGTCGGAGCGGTATACGCAGACTGACAAAGGCCGCGTGTTATCCCCCCCATCTTCCCATATTGCGAGGAGGCTATCCGAACGCCTAGCTTGTTGGCTAACAGTGTTCAAGATGAACGGCGAGCTGAACGGTTTCCATAACAACTCATTCGTCGACGACGACTGCTTCCTCTTCACGTCCGAATCCGTCGGAGAAGGACACCCTGGTGAGTTTGATTATTATTATTATTATTATTATTTTTACAATGGATGGACGGACAGTGTGAGTAGCGAAATTACACGGACGACAAATGCTAGTTTGACAGCACCTCCTCTGAGGTCATGTGGCGTGTCTCCTTTGTGAGGTACGGAGTTTTTGTGATCCTTTTCATGTGTTCGCAACATTTAGGAAGACTTCTTTTGACTTAACCCCCCCACACACTTTCTTTTATGTAACTGTCATAGCGGCGGCAACATAGAGGTTAGCTAGCTACTTAGACACGAAAGCTAAATGTCAATTATAGAACACGTCGTTTAATAGAATATATTTCAAGTTTAGCCGGGCTAATTTGTATAAGTGTCTTAGAATGCGGCGGTATATTTGGAAGGAATACATATTCGGTTGAGTTTCAAGGGATTTATTAGCTTTAATATCGACATCATGCACCACCGAATTCTATTCTCGCCAGTCCAAGTCAGTATCCGGTTAGCTTCCAGCTCTATTCTCAATGGCAGGAGAATAACGGTAGCTTTGCCGTTTATTTGTTTGAAATTTCATTTGTCTAATAATGTCTTCTAATTAATATTATACATATCATTTATTTATTTATCCGTTATTGTTAAGTATTCTATTGTTGTACCCATTGAATTTCTTGTGTTATGATTTGAGTATGATGTAATGTACGGCTTTGTGTTAGAACTGTGGTTCTTGTTCAAGTGTTCGACAAATAAGCTGGAGTTAGGAATTTACGATACCCCAGGAATAATATTAACAACAATGGCAAATTTGAAAAATAAATAAAAATTGCCGTGAATATAAAATGAGTTTTCAAAATCATGATCTGTTTTCTCCACTCGCAAACTTGTGTGGTCATGTACTCGAGATGTGCCGACGTCACACCCACTCAGCTGTTAATGAAATACCATTTCTATGACCTGGAAAGATGAATGCTTGTTTGTCGAACATCCCACTTGGACATCTCACTTGCAATTAAGTAACTTTGTCTTGACTTGTTTTCAAGACTGGAATGCATCAGTTGACTTTAAAAATGTGTAGTCAGAAGTGGTTTAACCTGTCCCATAATAACCACATGAATCGGCATGAAGTAGGCAATAATGATTCTGTGTTGCATCATCTGAAGAGGTGTTCCCAATTTTTTGGGTGAACACACGGAAAGCACAGTGACATTCTGGATGAAGCAGGGAAGTTGTTTACCACAGCAACAAACATATTGGTAAATAGACGTTACAACAGAACATTCTGATGTTTCAAATAAGTTGTTGTGCCCAGTGGAATTTTTTTACCCACATAACAAGACTGCTTTGATTTAATACTTTTTCATTGACAATATCTTAAATCTATGTTTGTCATTCTTACAGATAAGATTTGCGACCAAATTAGTGATGCTGTTTTGGATGCGCACCTCACCCAAGACCCAGATGCCAAAGTAGCATGTGGTAAGTTCTCTCTCCCCCCCAACCACTTCATATTACAACTTTATTCTCACGATGATTTTATTCTAATATTATGACTTGTTTTGTCTTGTAAGATTTAAAGTTTAATTTTCATTTAAATTCTAACATTATTCTCATAATAATAATAATAATATATTTAAAATTTGTTCTTATAGAATTTCAACAGTTTTCACACTTCTTTGTTCTCGTAGAAATACAAAAAATCTCCTATCATCTTATGATTCTCATTGTATTTTCCCCCAATGTTGCCCTTCCTTCTGAAACTAATTGCTTTAATCACAAAAATAAACCTCACTCGTAATTCTGAAGCTCTCAGGACGTTACTAAGGCGCTCTCTCTAAATTCCATTGGATGATTTAATGAGCTGTGTCTTCATATCAAGAGCACGGAACATGTCCTGCAGCTCTTTTTCCCCCCCGTTTTTCCAATACCCAATCCTATTTGCTTCTTCACTCAAGTTTTAATGCGGGGAAAATGTTTTCAGTTCCAAGCCCTTCTTTAAGATGTGCATCCCAGGCAAGTTTAACATTCAATGTGTTTTACATTTCTTGAATGCACAGACTGCTTGTGTGTTGTACTCGAGGATGTTTCACACATAAGATTTAAGTTAATCCCTCTCACCCGAACAGAGACGGTCGCTAAGACGGGGATGATCCTGCTGGCTGGGGAGATCACCTCCAGGGCTGTGGTAGACTACCAGAAGATTGTGCGAGAGACAATCAAGCATATCGGCTATGACGATTCTTCCAAAGGTAAACTTCCAAACCCTAACAAAACAAACCTGATGCAATGTGCTGATCGCCTCCAGTCTTGGGATTAGTGGAAAAGCACAGATATTTGTTCAAAACATTCAGTAATGCAACATGTTTTCATGGTGGTGTTTCACACTTTTGACATGCAGGACAGTGCAAGTCTAATGTCCATATTTCTGTGATAAGTAGCCTGGCCTGGGTATTTATTTACTCAACCACAGGTGTGACTTCAGGACTCGCAAATATATAGAGTAGGAAGTGGAAAGTGAGAAGTATAAAATTATTGTGTAATGATACACTGTTGACTTAATACCCGCAATACGTTTGGTATGTGAACCTGTTGCTTTTCTGACAGCATTACCAAGCCAAGTCTTATTGGCCCAATTCCCTCCATTGTGCAGGAAACAAGAGTGTTGCCTACATTTGGATCTCTGTTGTCATTTTTGCTCGTCTCTTTTTTGGGGAAAAATAGCTGCCGGTGGGGTTGGAAAAGTCACTAAATATAGCATCCACACATGGTCAGCTATTTTGTCCTGACACCAAACAAGTTTGAAACAGTTTTTTTATCATAGCCTTAACTTGGGGTCAACTTCCACAGAAATGGTAGGTCTATTTTCTTACTTTACAAATTAAATTCATGTGAAAATAAGTTTTTCCTCTTTTCCTCTGGTTGTCAAACACGTTGAACACGTTCACCTAATAAAAACAGCCGTCAAACTGCATCGCGAGGCTCCTCTAAGTCTGTTGTCTACGTGTAGCAGTGAACCCCCTGCAGTGCTTTGATAGTCTTATCATGTAGAGTTAGGCAGGTGAGGCATGCAACTTTGGTCAAATATTTGCGGCTCTGAAGCACATACCACAGGTCAGGTTTAAAACACACGTCGAGCGTACTTACTTAAAAAAATGAATGAAAAAAATGAAAAGCAGTCCATGTAGTGGGGGATGTGCTTTGAGCTATGGAAGCCACACAAAAAAAAAAAAACAATTGCACTGACAAATAAACAATACAATTGATTAACTGAGATTGTGACGCCAAGTAAATCCACTACTGACTATTGTCCTGTATGATCGAGGCTTGATTGTCCACTGCAGGCTTTGACTACAAGACCTGCAACGTTCTGGTGGCTTTAGAGCAGCAGTCGTCCGACATCGCTCAAGGCGTTTATCTGGACCGCAAAGAGGAGGACGTGGGCGCCGGTGACCAGGTCTGAGGGCACACCGGTATGGACTTCCACCGTTCATGCTCTCATATGCAACTGATCTCGTGACGACTCCCACAGGGTCTGATGTTCGGCTATGCCAGCGATGAAACGGAGGAATGCATGCCTCTCACCATCGTCCTGGCCCACAAGCTCAACGCCAAGATGGCCGAGTTACGCCGTGATGGAACGCTCACGTGGCTCCGACCAGATTCCAAAACTCAGGTCACATACGAACCATATGTTCAGTTTCTGTCAGCCTAGTCGAGCGAGGCAAACTCATTTTCATCAAAGGCCGCATAAAAAGTTATGCTTTCCTGAAAATCACAATGTATAATGACCTAATTATTTTATTGCCAACTGTGGCATCCAGGCCACATTTTTGCTGAGCTCTGTGTTTCTGCTTTAAAGGGTTATATCAAATACGGTGGGCCTTGATTTTGCCATCGTGCATGTTTATTGACTGCCGCAATGTTTTCCTGGCAGGTCACAGTCCAGTACAGACAGGACCGCGGCGCCGTGGTTCCGCTCCGCGTCCACACCATTGTCATTTCCGTGCAGCACGACGAACTCGTCGGTCTGGAGGAGATGCGTCACAGTCTGAAGGAGCAGGTGGTCAAAGCGGTGGTCCCTCCTGGCTATCTGGACGATAATACCATCTATCACCTTCAGCCCAGTGGTCGCTTCGTCATTGGTGGGCCACAGGTAAGAAATGAAATGCGCAATCTTCTGTGGGCCTTGCAATTCAGTCAAAATACAGTAAAATGGCTGAGATTGAGAGGTTTGCTCCAGTGAAAATGGCTGGGATTGAATGAGTTAATGTCAAGGTTCCATGCCTTCAAAATATTTTTTTCTTCTCTTATGTGCATTAAAAAAAAAATAACAAACGATGGCCAGCAGATGGCAGCATTGGACGTCTCTTGGAAGTGCTCACCGTGTATCACAACGTGTATACTCCTGCTGGCAACTAGTTCAGGGTGTACAGTTTGTTCAGATGATTGTGGCATCACAAAAGCCAAATTATTAGCATCAGAGTCACTGTTGTGAATGGAATATGTCTTTCCATAAAAATGTTTAGGGGTTTTTCTCTCATTCAAAATAGGTGATTTCGGTGAAACCAACCCATATTCTACTGATTACTAAAAATGGAATAAGGTAGAAAGAGGTAGACTTTTTTTTTTAATGAAAGAAGAGAATCTGGGTACTTTCTGTGTTTAGCATTGCTAAAACACAATATTCTACGATCCTTGAAAGATCACTCACAATGTCCATAATTGGCTGCCACTCAAGGGCCTGCCTCTCTCTCTCTCTCTCTCTCTCTCTCTCTCTCTCTCGCTCACTTGCTCTTTTGCTTTTTTTTTTAAATGGCTGCCAGTGAAAGAGTTAATATAGTTAATGGAGGCATTTCACTCTAATAGGTGCCGCACCTCCAGTGAATTGTCAAGTGTCTGCTTGAACAAATAAGTACCTCACCTTAAATCACCTGTCAGGATAAATGATGTGTGCACCTAGCAGAGTATAATTACCTTTTAATCTATATTGTTTCAATATACTTGTATTAGGTTTTACTCTACTGGACGCTGAGTCTCATTTGATTAGCTGATGCATCGTCAACTTGAACAATTAAATGTGGCACCTAAAAGGCTCAGGAAAGAAATGATGTGGTGTGAATAGGAGGTCATTACTATTTGTGAAAATAAAATGGTAGAAATATGTAAAATAGGATGAAAAATTCCTTTCGCGTTGCATTTGGTAAAATAAAGATCTCAGCTCGAATAAACACTAAAACCTCTAAAACATGACCAGCTCTCTCTGCAGTTGCAGAAACGGTCTTCATCAATCAGTGTCATCTTCGAGCTCATACTCCGGTTGCTGCCCTCAGGGTGACGCTGGTCTTACTGGGCGCAAAATCATCGTTGATACTTACGGCGGCTGGGGCGCCCACGGAGGCGGCGCTTTTTCGGGCAAGGACTACACCAAGGTGGACCGCTCCGCCGCCTATGCTGCTCGCTGGGTTGCCAAGTCACTCGTGAAAGCGGGACTGTGCAGGCGCGTTCTGGTCCAGGTGAGAGTGAAGCACATCAGAGTGCACCCAGGCAGATCGTGGCTAAACACTGGCTGAAACCCGATGGCGTAGGTGTCCTACGCCATCGGGGTGGCGCATCCGCTCTCAGTCTCCATTTTCCACTACGGGACGTCCCAGAAGAATGAGAGTGAGCTGCTGGACATCGTGAGGAAGAATTTCGACCTACGTCCAGGAGTAATCGTGAGGTATCCTTGCGGATTTCTTGACTTTTGGCAGCACATTTTCCTTTCGGTGACTTGCTTACGTTTGTGTTCTTTCCTATTGCAGGGAGTTGGACCTAAAGAAGCCCATCTACCAGCGCACTGCAGCTTACGGTCACTTTGGCCGTGCTCTCTTTTCATGGGAGATTCCCAAGGAGCTCAAATACTAACTCCCCTACCCTACCGCTACCCGCCTTGCTCATTTCATGTAGCGCGTGTTCATCTCTTTCCCATCTTACTCTTCCTCTGCACAAAATAGCCCCCATCACTGCCACATCTGTTGCACTATGTACTTTGGTATTGGGCCATTTAGTCAGCTTGCTCAACCCCGTTTAAGAGCCGCCGCATTTGTCTTGAGACGACTTTCTGCCCGAGGCAACCAAGCGCACAACCGTCGTCGTTTCTTTGTCCGTGCTGTCCCTTCACGCCATTTTCTTTCTGACGTTTTACAGAGAAGTCAGAAGCTGCTACTGACCGTTTTGGCTGTGTTGGGGCTTCACGTAAACTTCACTCCATTTTTAAAACGTAATTTTATTTTGTCACTCGAAATGTCAGGCGGTCGTTCTAAACGAGGTTAAGTGTTCTGGATGTCATTTCAGCGTAGCCAAGCCCGTTTACATCAAGGGGGGCTTCACTTGCTCATGTGACACTGCCCCGTACTTGAAGCATAGAATGTCATTTGATTGTCGTGGGACCGAAATTGTTGCCAACGGCAGCCAAAAAGGTCTGTTGAGTTCCTGCTTGTTGTTGAATCACACGTACAGTAATAGGTGCCCGTTGTGTAGCGTCAGTTTCGAAATGCCGACACAACGTGATCATATTTAACTCATTGAATTTGCGACACGCTCCTCACTCTTTGCGCCTAATTAAGTGTGACCTGCACTCCTATGTTCAACCAAGTTGCAGCCGAAGTATTATTTACTCCCCCCCCCCCCCCCCCCGTAGCAGATGTATTCCTCTAAACCAATGTTCACGCATTGCTCGTCACTATGTTCGTTCCAAAGATTTGTTGAAGCACAAGATCTTCCTTTTTCTTTCCGCCCAATTGAAATTGATTGCATTTTAAAAATGCTCCTGACCGTCGCCAAAGGAGATTGTGATGATAAGCTGCTTACTCGCCTATGCCTTTTACGCAGAATGTAGTGATTGTGGCGATGAGCAGTAAAAACCACCTGGTAATTTCCCGTCTTTGGGGGTAGTGCCCAAGTTGGGGCCAGATTTGTGAGACATGGAAGAGCCGAAAGCCTGAAAAAGCGCGTGGGGTTCAACACCTGACACTCTCCCTTCACAATTAAAGCTGCCCAAGAAGTAGTTCGCTCGTCCCACCAGATGCTGATATCATCAGGCCTCGATTTGGCTTCATGTAAGATTTAGACAATGGTGGTCATATTCCATCCTGCTGGGTTCGATGTAAAAGGTACAGGTGAGCAATGCATCTATTGAAGTCAAATGCCCCATTGTGTAATTACTCTGCATCTGGCAGCCTGTGTTATGCCTGGTCCACTTTTTTCCCCCAGTTCTGTACCTTATCGATCCAGGCTCGAACAAGCAGTGTCGTGTGAAAGGGGCTTTGGCAAGGCGCTTCGATCTCTGACACCCCCGTGTGGTTCCTGGAGTGTACTACATACAAATTTTAGGAGCTCCACGGATGTGTGTGGTCTAAAGAGCGTGTGAGCCGAATCATCAGGTAGCTTTGTTTAAAACCACAAGATGGGAGAGTCCTTAATTGGCTGGTGTTGTACAGAGAAACCAGCCTGTTTACACGGGACCTCCCGCAGGTTTTCCCTTCCTAAATTATTCTGTGTAGAACTTTATTACTGTGTGTGTTCGCTAATTATTATTAAGTGCCTTTTCTCATTGTCTGCATTGCCGAACACCCACCCCCCACCTTTTTTTCCTTTGTTGCACACTGTGTCACCTAGGAGTCTAACCTGCTGTTGAGCTTCTCCCTCAAGCTCTTAAAATAAACAGCATGCTTTGCTCATGCATTTTGGATTATGTGTCGCATCTTTTTTAGAGAATTGTGCCTCAGTCCATTTATCCATCCGTTGTCGGTTGTGCTCGACTGTGAGGCAGATGTGTTACTTTTTGCACGACCCGTATACGATTTTGAACAACAACTACAAAGGCATATTCTAGAACAAAATCTCAACTCAAACCGGAATGACTATATGACTGATGATTTTTATTTTTTTTTTTTTACTCAACAATTGATGCAAACAATTACAGCTTTGGATAAAAGATGTTACGAGTACAAAATCTGTAGTTCATGATCTTATCTGAGCCACGCGCTCCCAAACCAATCCACAGAGAGTGAGAAAAGCACACACAATGCCTTGAGGTTTCTGTTCAGAACCTGAAAAGCATAGCAGGAATATCAGGAGTCAAGAGACAGAGGCCATTTGTAGTTTCTTTAACCGCAACACCTGGCTCAGACAGGTGATGACTCACAATTCCAGCCTGGCGCACGCACACACACACACAGACGCGCGCACACACACAAAAAGTTATGGCATGATGTTTTTTTTGCATGTCGTTATCAATGATTTTTAAAGCTTTCGTCACATCTACCTGACAAGTCTTCAAAGAGTGTTGTAGCTGAGGGGTTTCCAGGCAAATCTTTGACAGTAGAACAGAGTCTACACAGAGTGGAAAAAGTATTTACACTAGAAAGTTGTAATTCTCATCCCTTAATTTAAAAAAAAAACAAAACAGGACTTTCAAATTGACAATGCAGAATATGCACAAACAGAATATGAGCCAGGTCCGTCAAATTGCCAAAAATATGGATCATGGCATTGCAAAGTATAAACAGATAAATGCCAATGTTCTCGATTGATTCAACACAAACATAAATCTGCTTTCTTAGTGTACTGCAGATTATGAGAAAAATAATGCACACATGATGATGAACTATTGTTAACTTACCCCACATTTCAGAGAGGTTGGTAGGTCCCTGCACCTGTAGGTTGCCAAAGTGCAGGGGTCTGGGGGTGTGGGTTGGGGGGGGGGGGGCATATGGATGGTCAGTGGTTCACTCCTAACATCCATCTAGTATATTTTATATGCTTTCCATGAATATAATATATATTTTTTAATTTCCATGGGCCTCAATCCTATGCCTCAAACCTGGTTAAACTGGAACTTGAAGGTAAGGTTGTTTTTTTTTCCTTTATGGGGCAGAACGCTTTTGCGATCATCCAATAATTTCCATGCTGTTTTTTCGATGACTCATACGTAAGCATTGTGCCACTTGAGAGCAATCGATCGGAACTTTGTCACTCAAAATGCTATTCCTGGACTGTACGATAATGTGTTTTATCTCTCTTACTGAATCGACTTTTTGTTTTTTTTCTTCCAGACTACACAACAATATTTTCAGATTTTGTGTGTGTGTCGGCGTGACTGACCAACGGGAGGACCCTCCTGACTCTTGCACAGGCGGATGAGTGTGCAGATGGCCTTCGGGGTGGCAAAGCTTAGGAGGGCGTCCAGCAGCGTCTTGCTGAATGTGCCGATGACAAACTGGCACTGATTACGGTAGGAGATGGGCATGATGTGACAGACGTCCTCCATCAGCTCCACCACGGCCTCCTAGAAAACCGCTAACGCTATTAGACTGGATGCTTTCATATTTGCCTGAACCTAATTTTCCAGTCGTATATGTCAAAACAATCACAGAATTAACCCCAAATAGAAATTACAAGCTAAAACCCGAAATACAATCCGACCATCTGGTTGGTGTTGCGGATTTACCTCAGTCCTCTCTTTGGGCAGCAAGTCATCCAGTGTCTTGATGAAAAAAATGCAGAATGAGCACGGCGACGTTGGCTTCCCCTAACAAAACGGCAGATATTAAACGATAGTCACCGTCATTGATCTTTTTGAAAAGCGCGCCGTCTCATTGACTGACATTTGCTTGCAATGGAGCAAGCTGGAGCGCCTCGTTGAGCAAAGAGCCCAACGTTTTCTGCTGGTCGTCTGAGCCGCACAGCCCAGTGATTTTGCAGATGTCCCGGGGGCTCTGCAGGCAGACACGTGGGAATTTAAATTATTTTGATATAAGCACACGTGTATTAAAATTGTATCAAGGCCCTGCAACGTACTGCTATGACAGTGATCAAGCTGATGGCCACTGGAAGGATCTTGTCCACCTCCTCCTTGCATAATTCAGCCACACCGGCTTTCCCGGGCAGATGGTCACACAGCTGGTTGATGCCAAGCGTTATTTTTTTCTAGAAGAAGCATGATTTACTCGCCTCAATATTCAATTCACAACAGATTCTAGAACAACATAATCTACGAAGCTACTTATTGGTGCACAGACACAGGCTAAACGATCCTTGACGCGTTTGCCTCATTTGCACATGACAAAAACATCGACGACTTTCACGCCGAAAAAAAAAAAAGTCCACAGCTTTTCTTCTCTCTGCAGTAAGACTGGAAGTGTTCTTCATTTTTTCTTTTATTTAATGTGCCACCTTTCTGTGTAGTTCAGCTCAAATTGGTAATGTAGTTCTGACACGTAATGCTAACGATGGTACGGTGTCAATAGCACTTAGATTAAACATGTTGTGTGTTCTATTATTTTGTCATTTTATGTCAACTGTTACGTAAAGCGCTTTGTTACAACTGTGGCTATATATTAAAAAAAAAAAAGCTGGATTGGATTGTAAATGAAACGAGACTCCCTTCAGCTCTTCCGACGCCACTTTCAAGAGGCCAACAGAATCATTGTCCAGTGAGTGGGCCCTTGCACCTGAGCCACATATAGTTTAAGATAAACCGTATTCACTCTGTCATTCCAAACTATTACCATCACTGCGCTCCTGCTGATTACGAATGTGTGCCAAGCAACATTCCAGGAATTTGCTGTGAAAAAAAAAAAAACTGTGCGATAGCATTGTGCCCAGTCGGGGCCGATAAGGAAGGTCTGATAAGCGAATGTGTTCACCTGGAGGTCTGCGTTGGAAAGCAGGTCGACAAAGAGGTTGATTATTTTTGTGCAGTCCTCACAGGGACTCCCAGCCTGAGCACAAAGTCACAGAAGAAATTAATACACGCCAGCAATTTGTGTGTCCATGCACACCGTGTATATCAACACAAATATACCAATTTTTAAAAAAAAAATGGGAAGAAAGGAAACAATCATCGATAGATGTCTTCAGTTGATACGTTACATGTTCAAAGGGAGTTGGAAGTGTAAATTGTTCACAGGTTAGTTATACGTGAATTTATGATTTTAATGCAGACGGACAAAGAAACTTACTGTCATCAGCGCATCCGGTCCGTTATTCAAGAAGCCATCACTCTCCGCGGTCAGAGCTGCGGAGAAGAATCACTCATAAAATCATGCGAAAAAATGCTGAATATTATATTTGTATTAAATATCGGATTTCAAAACTCTCACCGCAACCTTGTAGCCCAGTGAAGAGAAACAACGCAAACGTGATTGAGTTCATCCTCTCTTGAATTTGGCTATGAGTGGGTCAATGGCGTCCCGAAACTCAGATATGTACAAAGAGGCTCAAAATGCAGCTTTTATTTGACCGCGACCGCCTGACATCGCCTGCCCCAACCCCACTGGGGGGTGGGGGTTAACATTTGTATTTGCAGAGTAGGGAACGGTCACCTTTCAATTCTTCACAGGTGTGAATGGTGGAAACAGATATACTTAAGAGTGGTTTTATGAAAGCACTGCAGTGCTACCGAAAAGTCTCGGCTCAGAATTATGACAAATAAAGCATATATCGTATTTTCCGCACTGTAAGGCGCTTCGGAGTATAAGGCGCACCTTCGATTAATGGCCTATTTCAAAACCATGTTCATATATAGGGGGCACCGCATTATAAGGCGCATAGATAGAAGCTACAACCGTGGCTGCGGTTGCATTATGCATCCACTAGATGGAGCTACGCTAAAGGTAATACAATACAATCCAGCTTTTATTTATATCGAGCTTACACAAGTAGCTGTAAGTAAGCGCTTTACACAATATTTAAAATACTGCATCCAAGAAATCAGAATATTGATCCATATCGAAGGCACATCAGATTATAAGGCGCACTGTCGGCTTTTGAGAAAATTCAATGCTTTTAGGTGCGCTGCACAGTGCGGAAAATACGGTACTCAAATTTAAAAATAACACAAAGCAATCCTCTTGCTTAGTGACTCCCGTTAACTTCCAAGAAAGTAAACTGTCATCTCTAGAGCGTCTATAGAATCGTTTTGCCATTTTATTTCACCTTTTATTCACTATTTATCTCGCTGACATAAATAGGTAAGGTCACAAGCTTCTAAACTTTGCGAAATCCTTTCAACGTGCAACAATACATTCACATTTCAGATTTGGTTATTTACCCTAACCTGCACATGTAGATAGTGTATATAATCCAAATCAATTCCCCACAATACGTTAAAGTCAACGGCTCAACAGTAGCCAGGTATGCGCCGCAAAATGGCCGTACACGCAGTTTTAAGATATCACGTTGGTAAATTTGCAAAGGAATTACCTGGCAGAATAGCACGTTTGTCTAATATGTTCTCACATATTTCCAGTTAGATGATGTAAGACCAAGGTCATCTTTAGGGCCACCAACCAAAGTTAAATGCTGGATAGGTGCCCCGTAGATGTTTTTTTTTTTTTTTTTTTCCTGGTGGAGCCTATCCAGCTGACTTCAGGTGGGAGGCCTCACAAATGGCTGCATTCCTAAAATGATCCATATATGTGCACGTGTACCGTGAGTCGCCATTTTTACATTCATGTTTGGATTTAATATCTTTACATCACACACCACTGAAAAAGAAAATGATTACAAAGTCGGCAGTTTCCTGCTTGTATCCCAGCATAGATTTACTGTCACCACAAAATCACTTTGCCCTAAATAACACTTCTGGTTTTCCACTCCTCCTTAATGTCTAACCAGCTGTGACAATGAGACTTGATAACTTGATATTGTTCTTCTTCCTTATTATGTTCAGGAAAAGGAACCAATGAATCCAAGAAACTATTTCGGGACGGAACTAATGATTCTCAGAAATGCTGAACAATGTCCAAAGGCGCTCTCATCTCAGATCTGCCCAGTGAACTTTGAGATGCCGGGAGGGTCACTTGGGGCTGATTTTCCTTTTTCACTTTTTGACAGTTAGAGCTGTCAGACATTGCTTCTGTTTCCCAAGAAGGGCAAATGAGATGCCTCGCTTAACAAAACCACTGGCGAAATGATATAGCTTGCGCCATTCCTCAAGGTTGACCAACAACCTTTCAACCAGTACCGCGCATTTCTGCTTTTCGAGGGGAACTCAAGCGACTTCATGCAACTCTTTGTGATGTTGCAAACAACAATGGGGACAATGTTACAGCTTACTTATTTGAGTTATTTCGAGACATCTTGCTTCTAGCGCGGACGCCAGTAATGGAAGGTCGCGCGAAAAAATTGTTATTTTGGGAAACTGTATTTCTGGAGTTAGAAAGTAACATTCATAGATCTACTGCACAGACGGTGCCAAGATTTCGACTTTTTATCTTGTCGAATTTTGAACACGTTATTATTTTGAAAAACTAATGTGCTCGAGAAAACAAAAGCAAAGGCAGATCAGAACCTAAGCAAAAAAAAAAAAAAAATCTACAAAAGTTTATTTGCATTTCTGATTAAAAGAAAAAAAATGGTGTAAATTTGTTGACCAGTGTTATGATCCCCAAACATTTCCGAGCAACATGTGCAGATATGCAAATATTACCTAGATTTAAAATAGATGGATATTTTCATATTTCTTTGTTTTTTATATGGTGTAAGGGAAAAAAAAACACACCAGACAATAAGAAACACTGCTGTACTGTAGTTTTCCTGTTACACAACTCACCAGGTCCTTAATTTTTTTATCCCACTAAAGAATAAAATTACGATAATTGTAAGTGTGCCAATATTTTCCCTTTTTTTTAAGAAATAAAAACATTTCATTTTCCTCCTAACCTGATAGCACGATAAGCTTTCCACTGTCGTAACCGCTGTCCCACAAAGGGTTAAATACTTTCCAAATTTAAAAAAAAAAAAAACCTTTGCGTTTTGACATGTTCTTGTGTCATTTCCAGCGCGAACCTCGCCACCAAACAAAGCGTGTACGCACCAACTTTAAATCTGTGCAGTTTATCAATACATTGCGATCCTTGTATCCAAGTCCCACCACTCACATTCTCGTTTGTATGACCTTGCAGCTCGAAAGTAAGACACGCGCAGGCATTAAGAATTCCATCGAGTTCCATTTGCGCACAGTTAGAGTTGCAGCTTCCCACAACTGCAATCTTGATTCGTCGTCAGAGTATTTCTCCTTTATGGTGCGTTTGTTTTGACAAGCAGCATTCAATTGCTGTCCGCAAGTCACTTTTTATGGCGATTCGCCCTATCAAGTTTGTTTTATGTTGCCTGGGTGAGGTCTTGTGATTAGAAGTGCAACACAGACAAAACGAAACCCTTTTCTGTTCATGTTGGGCTGTTCGTAAATATACTCCGGTGTCTGCAGCGCCACTGATTTTGATCACTTACCAGTTTGACAGTCGGTACTTTTGTCACCGTCTGACTGGCACCGGTGATGAGAACGCTCTAATGGAATGAATGTAATTACACACTCATCCGCCCTTGTCTTTTCTTTGTTGCGCGCCACTGTCGAGTTGCAAAGTAACTTTTAAATAGAAAAGTATTTGCTTTGGCAAGAAGGGCAGAGCCGCGATTCAAGTCGAGAACATCGAAAATGTTGGGCACAAGTGAGAGCCATCGGATCAGCTTGACCCAAATAAAATTGAATAGATGACGCAAACTTTTTTGGGGGAGTCCAAATTAGGGCTGAACAAGTCATCAAATAAAAATTGACATTGCAATAGAATGCAATTTTCAATTTAGAAAAAAAAAATCTGCTTCGTTTTAGTTGGTCGGTGCTCTATTTCTCATATATGTGTCGATTTTATTTAGTTATATGGTGTCCAGATAAGGGGGCACACGGCACAATAGCGCTTAACGGTGTGCCGCGGAAAAATTCCACTTCATTTGTCCGGATTTTTTTTTTTTTTTTACGTTATAAGCTGTCCACTGTAGTAACCGCTGTTGCTGAGAGGGTTAATATCAAAATTTTCATAATCAGTCAGCCGTCGTTCAAATGACAACACGCTCCCACACAATAAAAGAGTATAAGCATGTCATTCATATAATCTTAATGAGTTCGAGAATAGTTATAATTTAACTTTCGGGGTGACCTAAACCCGTTTTATCCAGTGGCGTTTGGATGACTACAACAAGGGAACGGGGAAAACAGGTCTGTTTCCTGCCAATGGCCTCGCAGAACAGTTCAAAGGGGCGAGGCCTTTGCATGCCACCAAATAAAAACAGATGGCCCGCATCACTGCCATGACGACATTCACACGCTTCTGACAGGTAAACGCGTTGCCTCTTGCATTGACTGTCATCGTCTGCTGTACTTGTCTTTCGGGAATTGACAAACTGATCTGACAGTTCAGTTTTTGGGGGGTTTTTTTTGGATTTTCTTCCAGAAATGATTTTTCCTGTCTTCCTCATACTGGGCATCTGCTTGGTGCCAGCACACTTGAAATCAACCGGTAGATGGAATATTTTCTACATTTACAGAGCGTGTCAAATTCGGGACGTTTCTGACTTTTTTTCCCCCCCTCTTTGTAGAATATCTGGGTAGTCCTTTACTTCAACAATGCTTTGAGGAAGCCAAGAAGATTGTTGATGATGCCTACACATACTCTCGAGCGGAGTAAGTCCTCCTTTTTTTTTCTTTTTCTACTCGTCTCTGAACTGGAACTTGTAGGAGGGAGCACATAACTCCACTTCTGTCCTCCCTTCACATGCTCCCTGTGCATCTTCGAGTTCATTTTAAGATGATTTGGCTTACATTCAAACGGCTAGTCCGAATTCAACTTTATACGACATACTAAATGCTTGGTATTCACCCTTGACTGCTTTTTAAAGCGGTCTATAAATAAACTTGAGTTGCGACACGACAGCAATTCAACCCTTTGTATAAACTTACCTCTTCAAATAAATATACAGTTGATTAAAGTCAGTTCTGTAAGTTTTATAATCATCTAAATGAGAATGTTTTCATGTCATCGTCTCAGCTAACGTGTTCTTGTGTTTCTAACGTGTAGCTGAATATGTTCAAATGGGTTAACTAAATGAACAGCATCTGTTACAAACTAACTAACTATTGACTGAGTTTTTTTTTGGGGGGGGCAGGGGTGGAGTGGGGGTGGGGGTCAAAATGTGAACCATATAAACATGAGCTAAATGCTTTGATCAATCTTCTTTTTGTGCTGAGCTAGCTCACTCAGATTAGTTGTCATATTTCAAGGACCGGTAGTCATATTACCTAACGAGTCATCAACCTGGCACGTGACCTAACTCAACGCAGTCCAGCTCACATTGTTCAATAGATTTTTGTGGAATCAAGTTAATTCACATTGGCTTAATTACCTTGTGTAAAAAGACAAGTAAACCATGAAATAACACCGGCAAGATTTTTGTGTTCCGCCAACCTACCATGCCTGTTTTTGAAATGTGGGAGGAAAATGGAGCGCCCTGGGAAAATCCACCCAGACGCAGGGGGAACATGCAAGCGAACACAGGAGGGCCGGATTCAAACCCAGGACCTCTGCACTGTGAGGCAGATGTACTAACCAGGCGCCCACCGAGCCGCTCGAAACCAACCAAGGAATATTTATATAAATACATGTAGTATTTTCTCAAACATCCCCAGCAATCAAGTAAAAAATATGAGCGTCTTGCGGGAGGTTGGCGTAAGGGACGGACGGAACTTCCACTCGGACATTTTAAGTTGAATCCACCTTGGTGCCTTGTTGTCACTTTCAGGAGTCTGAGGCGAGTGCGGAAGGAAGTGGTGAGTCCTCACGACGCTCTGCGTCTGCTGAAGCAGCCTCGCGGGGACACGCGCAATTCCGTGAGGGCCGCAGACTACATGGCGCAGACCCTGCACCTGTTGCAGGAAAGGATGCACCGCATCCACAAGCGCTCCCTCAATGCAACAGGTCAGCTTCTCCGTTCTAGGGTCGGGGTGATGTGAGAGTTTTTCCCTCTCGCTGAATGTTGCTACCGTGGGTCGTCATCGCAGATTTGCTCTCGGCGGAGGATCTGGAGAGACTCAGCATGATCACAGGATGTGCCGCTCAAGTCAGGCCTCCGCCCTGTAGCAGCACTCAAAACCTCGACAAGTATCGCACAGCTACGAGCGTCTGCAACAACCGGTGAGCTTCTTAATTATCGTTTCGTGTCTCTTCACTTTGTCCCCGTTGAGATTTCTCAAATGCAAAAGAGAGACACTTTGCTGAAATACACCACGTTTAATCATTTTACAATATTAGGCAGATAAGTGGATGTCGTTACACACACAAAAAAAAATGAAATTGATCCCTTTTTTTTTTTTCTTTTAAACCCTCTCAGAAAACCACAAAAGGTGTTGAAACTCCACCGTTGTTTGTGTAAAATGTTGGGCCACGTACAACTGAATGTATACATTTCCGTTGAGGTTACACAAGCTGGATTTGTAAAGACAAACCATCTACTTTGTAGACAAAACCCCCGCCTGGGTGCCTCCAACACCCCCTTCACCCGCTGGCTTCCTCCCCTGTACGATGACGGCATCTCGGAGCCCAAAGGGTGGCAGCCCAACCGAACGTTCAACAACTTCGTGCTTCCCCTGGTATTCACTCGGAAACTGGACTCTCGCTCCTATCCGATGAGCTGCACGAAAAGCTAATGACCTGTTCCGCGCCCCCAGGTCCGCCAGGTGTCGAATAATATCCTGAGCACGACGGACGCCGGCGTGGTCAGCGACAGGGAGTTCTCTCACATGGTGACCTTGTTCGGACAGTGGAACGACCATGACGTCACCTTCACGCCCTTCTCGCCCAGCATCCGCTCCTTCAGCAATGGGATAAACTGCGACGAGAGCTGCGAGCGCACCGAGCCGTGCATCCCGATCCCGGTCGGTCCCTGAAACTCAAACCGATTGGCTAGAAAGGAATTCATTGTCCCTAACATGTGGTGTCTGTTTCCATTCCAAGATTCCTCCCGGCGACCCACGCTTGCCCACCGGTCCTGATAGCTGCATCCCCTCGTTCAGATCGGCCCCCGTTTGCGGAACGGGCTTCTCGGCCTACAATTTTGGAGGAGTACCCAATAAGCGGGAGCAGATCAACGCGCTGACCGCCTTCCTGGATCTGGGCCAGGTGTACGGCTCCGAGACCCAGCTCGCCCTCAGCCTCCGTGATCTCAACAGCGAGGGACTCCTACGCGTCAATACCGAATTCAAAGATAACGGACGGGAGCTGCTGCCCTTTCACCCTCTGCCGGTCAACATGTGCGCCACCCGCAGGCGCACCACCAATGACAGCAATGCCAGAGAGGTTCCCTGTTTTATTGCAGGTCAGTCAAAGAAATGGCCTGTAGTTTATTTTATTTCTTTTTATTTATTTATTATTTACGTATTCATTATTTTGTATTCTGAATGGCGGCACGGTGGTCGACTGATTAGCACGTCGGCCTCACAGTGCAGAGGTGCACGGTTCGATTTCTGTTTGGGCCTTCTTGTGTGGGGTTTACACGTTTGCATGCGTGGGTTTTCTCCGGGTACTCCGTTTTCCTCCCACATTCGGAAAACATGCATGGCAGACTAATGGAGCATTCTAAGATGTCCCGACATGCGAGTGTGAGCGCGGATGGTTGTTCGTCTATCTGTGCCTTCCAATTGGCTGGCAACCAGTTCAGGGTGTCACCGATAAATGTTGCACTCACCCGATCAAATGAATCATTTCATGTCTTCCAGGCGACGTTCGTGTCGATGAGAACGTCGCTCTGACCACCCTTCACACAATGTTCATGCGCGAACACAACCGTCTCGCCCGTGCCCTGAAGAGACTGAACCCCCATTGGGACAGCGAGACGCTCTACCAAGAGGCGCGCAAGATCATGGGCGCTTACACGCAGGTCAGATTCATTTAGGATTCTTTCCCCCTTTGAGGTTTTCGTCTGCAAGGTGTGAATACTTAACTCATCCACGGGTCTTAGGTGTTTGTATTTCGCGACTATCTGCCGCACATTGTGGGAGACGACGCCATGCGCAGGCTGCTGGGGCCTTATCCCGGCTACAACCCTGACGTGGACCCGAGGATCTCAAACGTCTTCGCCACGGCAGCCTACCGCTTTGCTCACTTGGCCATCCAGCCCGTCTTAGCCCGCCTGGGCCCAGACTACAGAGAAGACCCTCAGTTCCCCAGCGTCCCCTTATTCAAAGCTTTCTTCACCCCCTGGAGAATCATATTTGAGGGTGAGCATCACTTTCTATATGTGTACTCTCTCTATATATGCACTGTGCTATGGAATCTGAAGACCACCCATTGTTATGTGCCTCAGGTGGCATTGACTCACTGGTGCGAGGTCTCCTGGACACTGTGCTATGGAATCTGAAGACCACCCATTATGTGCCTCCAGGTGGCATTGACTCACTGGTGCGAGGTCTCCTGGGCCGCCCCGCGAAACTCAACACTCAGGACCACATGATGGTGGATGCTCTCAGGGAGAGGCTCTTTGAGTTCGTGCACCACCTGGCTCTGGACCTGGGATCCCTCAACATGCAGAGGGGGCGTGATCACGGCTTACCCGGTAGGTCATATGCCCTGACCTCCGGGAGTTCCTCTTCTTTTGATTCATCCGTCATTATCATCCCGTCAATCACAGATGATGACTTCCTCACACCTTCCCTTTCGATGTTTACCTCTTCTAAGGTTACAACGCATGGCGCAAATTCTGTAACCTGTCTGAGCCCCGGAACCAGGCCGAGCTCGCTCAGGTCCTGAACAACCGGGACCTGGCCCGCAGGTTGCTGCAACTCTACGGTACGCCTGCCAACATTGACGTGTGGTTGGGGGGCGTGGCTGAGCCCTTTGTCCCTGGCGGCCGCGTGGGGCCTCTGTTTGCCTGCATCATCGCCACCCAGTTCCAAAAAATCCGGGAGGGTGACAGGTCAGCCTCATACCTCAATCGATACCGGATATTTTGTAGACAGACAGACGGTTATCGATCACACTTCCTATTAGCTAATGAAGCTCTTGCCCAACTCGAAAGGCTGTGGTACGAGAACCCCGGCGTCTTCACGGCGAGGCAGAAAGCCGCACTGTCCAGCGCTACCCTGTCCGGCATCATCTGCGACAACACAGGCATCAAGGCCGTCCCCAGAGACGCCTTCAGTATCCTATCGAGGAGAAACCTGCTTGTACGCTGCAACAATGTGCGACGCCTCAACCTGCAGCCGTGGAGGGAGAGGAGCTGTACAGATTTCTTAGGTGAGAAAATTCAGACGCCAGCGTTCTTCTTTCATCTTCCGTTGTTGTTTCATCACATTTATCCCCCTGCCCCGCCCTCAAATTTTGATGCTGTTGGTGCCGACATAGAAATGATAACGTTTTAAAATGAATATGGAACGTGAATTCTCAATTCATACTGCCTGGATTTCCATGTGATGTGACGTTTTTATTTTGCAGAAAACGGTAGCTGCCCTGATCTCCCACTCGAACCCAGAGATGAAAAAGTCAGTGCTCCCCTTATTCTTCCACAATAGATACAACTTGTAAGTCTAGTGTCAAAAGGCTTAACTTGATTGTCTTTCTTGACATACAGAAACAATTTCCAAATGAGGAGTTTCCACAGGATGAGCTGGATAACGAGGTAGCTATCACACCGACGACAGGACTTCAAGCACTCTATTCATTTTTTCTAAAAATTGAAAGTAGCAATAGCAGCATAATAGTGAAGAATAGCAGTGCAGCATGCTGGACCGGCTCAATGGCTACATTTAAATCCAGTACAAAAGCAATTTGGCGTATCGAATTATGGCACGTGTATGACATTTAATTGTGAGTCTAAAAACTAAACTTGATTATTTCTTTCTTGACATGCACTCCGCAAGCTTCCAGAGGAAGACCCGGATAATGAGGTACTTATATCTTGGAAAAAAAATTCTCTTCTTACATGTACATTTCAAGTGACACATATCCTATGTGGCAATGATGACGCAAAAGTAAACGGTAACATTAAAATAATACAATAATAAATTGGCTTGCGTCTATACGATGCCCTGCAAACGCCACACGGTGGCGACAAAGCATCTTGTTATGAGACAGGGCGATGGCGAAGCTGCTCCCACACTCAGTTCCTTGGCATCAAGTTGGTAAAAGATGGCGCCAAAGCCAAAATTTTAGACATGACAAGGTGAAAGGAAGAATTCAAGTGCACACAGATGGCCATCATGAAGCCAAAACCAAAGTTGTCAAACTCTGGTCCTCAAGGGCCACCAGCTTGCATGTTTTAGATGTTTCCCTTCTCCGTCACGCCTGAGTCAAATGATCAGCTCATTAGCAAGCTCTACAGGAGCCAGACAACAACCTCGATCATTTGAATTTGCTGTGTTGGATGAGGGACACCTCTCAAACTGGAGAATAGTGAGTGGCCCATGAGGACCGGAGTTTGACGCCGGTGGCCTCAGTCATCGAATGGAAGATGAACAGCGCCATCTGCTGGACCAAGGATGGTTAAATATGTGGCCTTATTTGGTCTCGTTTTGTTTCCCGATGCAGTTTCCAATCTTGCCTCAATGAGCCACTGCCACTCGGCCTCATGCTCACCCAGCCTCTGTCTGTCGTCCATTTGCGCCAATCCCGTAAAATATCCACTTGAAGTTGTCTCCAACGAACAGAAGAACCATCACTGCCATCTTTCTCCGAAAACGAACACTGCCGGCGTGGAGTCAGCGCCAGCATCACTCTCTTCTGGTCAACTGACACCAGGACTTTTTTGTTGTCCTCCCTCAAACGTGTAAACGGGCGGCTGACAATGATACACGCAGCAAAATTTGTGAGACATGGTCTCCTTTGTGTTACATGCGATTTGTCTTTTTTGTTTGTTTGTATTGTGATGATTATTTATGTAATGAAGCATAGGCATGCGCAAAGGCTTTTTAGTATGAATCCCCCCTCATCTGTTTGTGTTCTGCACTGAATAAAAACTGAAGTAAAAACAGTTGTGGCCAAGTGTTCTGAATTTGAGGTCATCAAGTCAGGTTTTATGAACGCTTAAAATTAAAGACATGAGACTACCAGATATTGAATCAAGACCATGCTGGGCACATGTAAAAACAAACAAAAAAATGAAATGAAACCTGTTGAAATATATTGATAATGTGTTCTGTATACAGTTTTTCAGATTTCGGTGTGCAAATGGAAGTGACGGCTGTTTAAAGTAAGTAAGACTGGAATCTTGGATCATGCAATGATGTTCATTGTCCTGTAGATAGCGCTATCTGTTCTACATTTTCCCCCTTTCAAATTTGGACAGCAGTCGCATTTTGCTCAATTTCCATTTCCATTTTTGTCTTTGTGAAACCTTATCTCCTCGTACTTGTTTCAGACATATTGTGAATGCGCTATGATTGAATTTTGTGATTCCCTTTATCAACAAGATTTTTGACAACTTGGGTGGCAGCTTCGTTGAACTATTTTTGGGGCTGGGAATGTTTTAACATAAAGATGATGGCACTCAATATTTAGAGAGTATTAGGAATGAGATAAGAACATATTTCCTGTTGCATTCTGGGAAATGTAGGATCCCGGTATTTAGCGAATGAATGAATGAATGAATGTCAGACCAGAACAGAACTGCTGTCCATTTGGACCTCAAGGATCGCCTGTGATGCATTCAAGAACGTTCTCCAACCCTCGGAACTTATCAGTACATAAGTTACAGACGTGCTAGCGCAAAACTTTATCACTGAGCAGACGATGGAAAAATGAGATCTCCCACCACATTCCTCCACTTGTGAGAGGAACCAAGACATTGGAATTTTCTTTTACAAATCTATAAATCTGCATGACAGTGTGAGGAAAGTACTGTACATGTAACGTGTGCCGGGTTGCACTTTCACTCCTCCCCCCATGGTTTTAAAAGAGTGCCACGTAGTCCTAGCAGACTGTGTGTGTGTGTGTGTGTGTGTGTGTGTGTGTGTGTGCGTGTGTGTGTGTGTGTGTGTGTGTGTGTGTGTGTGTGTGTGTGTGTAAGTGCATGCGGTGCAGGCCCCTGACAGAGTGCTCCTAGAGTAATGGAAACCCAGTATTTATGAAGCAGGAGGAAATATTTGAATTATCTGCGTCTGTTAGAGAACTTTGAGCTTGGCCGGAATGTATTTCAGTGGGCTTAGTTTTTGCTAAACAAATGAAAAATAGATGTGGGGGTAAAACCCCCATTTAAAGGAAATGAAAATGTAAAGAGATCATACAGTGGAACCTCTGAAGGGCAGCACGATGGAAAGTGGTAGGCATGTTTGTCTCCCACATCAAAGGTTTGGGGTTCAAATCTCAAATCTGGCCTTCCTGTGTTTGTGTTTTTGCATGTTCTCCAGAGGCTGTGTGAGTTATACTCCAGCTTCCTCCCACGATCCAAAAATCACTTGCAATATAATGTTTCAAAATATGACATTTAGACGTCCTGGGAGATATTTTAACAGGAATCATAGAAATTCATGCAGAAGGTTTGCTTCCACCGACCACGTTAAAAAAAAAAAAAAGCCAAATCTGGCTCTGGTGGACTTTAGTTTCATGCTCGTGCCTGTACATTTGTAATTGTCTGACCTTCGGGGAGAATTAATTTGTGGAGGTTCCACTGTACTGTTGTTTACTAGTGTTGTAGGAAGTAAGATTGCAATGAAGAAATCTGTGCTTAATGTATGAATGAACATATTTATAAAAGGGAAATCCAAAATTGTACGTTTGCTGCTTTCTATCTGGCTTTCAAGGGTGTGATACCCTTAAAAAAGTCAACTCAATCAAATTCCTCTCTCTGCAAATTTTTTTATTTTATTTATTTATTTTTTTGCCAGATCTTGACCAAGTGAGGGCACTTTAAATTGATGGTGAATTTAGCATCATAAGAAAATGGAGAACCCTTCTCCAGCTCGACTTTAATCATGTCAAATGCAGGAGGCCCTTTTTCCGATTTTTGCATCGTTCCTTGTTGGTTTTCCTTGAAAAGCTGCAACGAGCACAACAACATTTAGAAGGAACAATGAATATTTCTCAAAAACATCAATGTGCTTGCAATTTGAACGAGCTTCATAGCAGGCTTCTTACCAAACATTTGCTAGATCATTCATAAAACATCACAAGGAAAGTGGCCCTAGGCAACAGCCGTGTGGAACACCGCAGGATATTTTTACTATTTAAAAAAAAAAGCTCCCTGTGTTCTGCCAGTTATAATTCATCAGAGGCATGAGTTGATTCAAATTCCTGCAGCTCAACGGAACAGCCAAAAATGTGGACCTGAGGTGGATTCCAGCAACAAAAGAACTTGGCTAATTGCTTACAGATGTGTGAGGGAATGAGGGGAGAAGTGAAAGTTCTGTGAATCATGAGCAAAAAAAATATATATATATATATATATATATATATATATATATATATATATATCGGATGGACCAACAGCCTCACGTGATGGCAAATGGTAATGTCTGTCCCGTCTGTTATCTGAGACGTGCAAGTCTGGCTCTGAATAATCTAGCACTCACTCCTAGCTACCATTAACCCTTGATAGGGAACACACCGAAATGCTCTGATTATCTGAGTACAGTGGAACATCAAGTTACGAAACTGTTTGTTACCTGAAACATTCATAAATTTAGGCATCTGTATCCGCGGCACTCAGAATCTTTCTGCCTGCGCCCTGTGCAATGCATTTCAGAGCACAAACGGTGCGGCAACACACGTAGGCAGACAATACAACAGAGCTCGCAGTCATGTCCTATATTATTTATCCTCTGTCCAAGTGTCCATAGGGTACAGGTTGGACAATGTGATGTAAATGTTGTTATCCACCACTGGGCGTGAGGTCTCCGTGCAGATCCAAAACTTGAGTTATTATAAATCCCATTTGCTCTTTGACTTACTGCGACGTTTCACTGTGCTACTTGAACAGATTAGCCCTGTAAATATTGAACAAGTTTAACATTTACAGTTGTCGGCCTGACCAATTTCCAAGCAGAATGGGAAGGGGAAAAGCTCCATCTTAACACATTCCTTACAACGGGATGATCCCTCCACGTCATCTCTGGGGGACAGTCAAGAATTTGCTATCATTGAATTGAGATGGCAAAACAATAGCTATCCAATCGCTGCTAAGATCAGCTAGCAAATGGTTATTGCATGTATGACTTTTCTCCAGTTGTCCTCAAAAGCAAAAGTTAAAAAAAAAAAAAAAGGCACACCACAGAAGTTTGATCATTTGGCAAAAAGAATGTCACTGTCAATGCTGCAGCAATCTAGTTTTTAAGAGTGCGTGAGGACAATGGGGACACCACAGTTGACGCAAGCTTGGCTGCCAATGGGAGAGCAGCGAGCGAATATGCTAATCGCTTACAGGTGTCATCACGGTCTCAACTCTTCAGTTTGTCTTCATGGCTCACTTGTGGCTCAAATCTGACTCGACCCAGTGATCACAGTTAAATGGCGCCCTATCAAAGCCTTTGCATCCATATACTAACCAATGACCACGTGTCAAAAAAAGCTACTTTTCTTGTGAATACATGGAGAACACTATCAACGCTTCCAAGACTTTTTTTTTGGCATTGTTGGAAACACGTAGCAAGCAGAGAGCGGAATTGGCAGGCATGGCGTTGAACTAGTGGCCACACAATCACAAGTACATCTGAGGATGGGAAGGATGCACGTTGGGTCAAAATGTCAACACTGCAGCTGTAGTTTGTGGTGATTTGTGAGGGGCTGCATGAAACCAAATTCGCAGTAGCTGGGCCGAAGTCAGCCTGCGGTAGCTTGTATAGATTCTTTTTTTCCTACACAGAGGAAAATTAGAGGCTTTAATGTTTCCCAAACTTAGCATTATAGCTCTGGCATTAACAGCCAAGGCTGTTATTTCATAGGATTTTAGCAAATGTAGTGTGGTTTAACTGGCATCCTGATTTTGAGCTGTGTGTCCATGGCAATGCTAAGCTAATGTCCGCAGGGACATCATGGCCGAACCCAATTACATTTGGAGGGACTCTCTCCCCTGCTAACATGGCCGTCACATATGTCCATGCGTCGCATTTAATGGGAAATCCGCCCCTGCCAACATGGCCGCCACATTGGCGCATTTCTTCGCTTGCTTTAGTCCACTTTATGTCTGTTTGGGAAATTAGATTAGATTAGATATCCTTTATTTGTCCCACACTGGGGAAATTTACAGCCTTCAGCAGCAAGATTGTGGGTAGAAAGAAGAGAAAAGAAACACAGTTCAATTAAGTGCAATATAAATACAAAATTAAGTGCAATATAAATACAAATGTCTTGGGAAATGGGCTTTCCTTTGGATAGGTTTTCCCCTAACAACCTACTCAAAGCGCTTTAGCGCTGACTCCTCAAACCTTTGTCTTTTTTTTTTTCCAGTGTACCTGCTTTGCTGGTGACCAAGTCTGCTTGCTCACCAGCACACTTCCGCATCTCATACACTTCTGCAGAGATTGAGAAAAAATAACAAGCATTTTGACGAAGTATAAGATACAGTTTTTCACGTAACAAGACTAGGTCGATTTAATTTTGCTCTGTGTTGCGAGCCAAAATTTGTCACATGAAATGCTATCGTTTTGCCCACTGTTTTATAAGAGAGTATGTTTTGTCGTGCAAAAATGACAAAGAGGACTAGTTTCAAAGACAAGCAGGCCAAGCGGGGTCAGAAAGACTTCACGTACTCAGTTGTTATATGACTAGTAAAAGACTTGCGTAACCATCCCATAATGCCAACTCACAACTCCGCCTCCTCCTTCTCATCTCTAAGTGCATGTGCAGGCTGCAGGAGTGGAGAGATGTGACTTTCACACTTTCCCTCGCTTAGTGCGTGCTCTCCGGGTCTCAGTTTCGCAAGTGACATGTTGGATTTGTAAATTAAAACGAAGACAAGTGCCATCGTCGCGAGTGAGTCCAACATGGGATTACGCATTGGCATGCCGCTTTACGCATTCGCGTGCGTCTATTTATTTGTGTTGACCCTTCGAGGTGCGCGTTGCCAGAGGCACCCGGCGTCCCCCCAAGGGAATAACCCCGGAGCCGCTCCCAGGCAGACACTACAGTGGTCTCACAACGGCAACATTTTCAGCATTTTAAGCCACGGCGCCGAGTACCAACCGGCGAGGCGTCGAGGCGCACCGCAGGAGCAAGTGCAGCGCAGACCGATCACCATCATCAGCGACGCCAAGCAGCGGGCGCCGGACACCCCGCAGCAGCTCCACGCTGCCCGACCGGGCTCCGAGGCGCTTCCGCCTGCGCGCCAGCGACTGGTAAGAGGCAGGCAGCACCAACAGGTCCAGGTCCCGGTCCAGGACCACCCGAGCGAGCGGAGTAACGGCACTCAGGCCAAGGTGACCGTGAGCCCTCCTCAGCCCAGGAGGGAGGATGTGATGGTCGCTGACGACCCCTACGACCCCTCCAAGTCCTACGATATGGACCCCGACAACCCTTATTACAATCACTACGACGTGTACGAGAGACCCAGGTCCAGATCGTCCAGACCGGGATATGGCACAAGGTACCATCAGTACGGTAAGAGTGAGGGTTCGGTTCTGTGGACACCATTCGGACAGTCTATAAATGCATCTTTGGCTCACCGGACACGTCATTAGATACTCCTGTGCAATCCAATAACTTCCCATACAGTACATATATAAATATAGATAAATATGATAAATAGTATTTTTATTCAATAATAAATATGTTTAAAATAAGATGACAATACAATAAGTAAAAGTCAATAATACATGTGGACACTGTATGTATTAATGTATTATTTAAAAATGAAATAAATCGTAATAATGAATGAAAAAACTACGTTAATAAAATTAAACGTAAATGTTAAACATGTAAAAAAATGTCTTGAATACCAAAATCTATAAAAAAACAATTTTACTCGGTAAAAATAAGTCGAATAGCTATGAAATAATTACATACTGTATTTTTAAATAAATAAAATAATGCATCTAAAAACTAAATTAATTAATCGATTAAAATACACAATAATAAATATGGAAATTTAATTCGATTCAATGTCGTGAAATTAATGACACTAAAGAAAAAAAAAATACAACACTGTAAGATACCAAGAACACTCGGTAGACCTCTGACAAGGCTCAACACCTGCATCCGGTAGGGGGCAGTAATGTACCGCTTGTTGACGAGAATTTCACAATCATAAATGCTTTCATATTCATAAGGCGGATAAATTACTACAAACAGCTCTTACTGCAACCACAATGATGTACATATTATGCCATTATATTGTAATCTAATCTTTGTAAAGGCAGCTCTTTTATTGGCGCTCATGAATATTGTGGTTGGTAAGCTACACCATGCCCTGTACTGTTATCTTAAAAAATGTATCTCAGTTTAAATCATGATGTCTTTATTGCAGGTCTTCCAGACCTGGTGCTTGACCCATACTACATTCAGACCGCTGCTTACGTGCAGAGCACCCCCATGTACAACCTCAGATGCGCATCTGAGGAGAACTGTTTGTCAAGGTAAGCTGTTAAGTTTTTGAGCCGTGGGTGGTTTTGCAATAAAACAAAACAACACGGCAGTTAGTATGATTCAGAGTCAGAGCAATGACTTTAAAGTGCTTGTGGCCATGCTCTGCCGCTTCGCGACGTGCTATTTTCCACCCACCATTTAAGCTCAGGCTGTTTTCCCTCAGAGGCTACACCTCGGGTCAGGATACCGTCGTTGGAAAAACACTAATCTTCTCTCTTGTCTGCAGCACGGCCTACTTGGCCCGAGACTATGACACCCTTGCTATTTTCCACCCACCATTTAAGTTCAGGCTGTTTTCCCTCAGAGGCTACACCTCAGGTCATTGGAAAAACACTAATCTTCTCTCTTGTCTGCAGCACGGCCTACTTGGCCCGAGACTATGACACCCGAATGCTGCTGCGCTTCCCCCAGAGAGTCAAGAACCAGGGCACGGCTGACTTCCGGCCCAGCAGGCCGCGCTACTCCTGGGAATGGCACAGTTGTCACCAGTGGGTATTCACACACATTGTCGTGGCTCATCACTACACTGAGTACAGGAGCTGGTTCTTTCCTGTTTATTCAATGGACATACAGCAAAGTATAACGCCATACAATAAAAGAGTAGAAAAAAAGCAGATCAGACCAAAAATAGCTTAATTAGAGGGTTTGCTACAATAGGGTTATGACTGACCATCCAGTCAATGCACAATGTCCACTCTTTTGGACTGTGAGACAATTCACACACCAGGCAGTAGCACAGAGTCTTTCTTAAGATTGAGAGCACAAAGGTAACATGAGCGAACTTCACGTGACCTATTCATTTCCAACCCAGACACAGACATTGTAAAACTAACAGCCATAATGAGCCCTTTTCCCTAATGGAAAATTAACTGGCTTCTCGATTCCACCAAAAAAAAAAAAAAAATTACCTCATTCTAAAGTTATGTGTGGATGGTGGGGGGAAAAGCTCAAGTGTCTGTAGAAATCCTTGTAAATGATGAGCATGTGGCCGTGCTCCAAAACAACTGCTAATGTATGCCCTGTCGAATTTTTGGGGTTCAAAAGTCAGTTGATCTCGACATTGAACAAACCTATTTCAAAGGTACTTGATGTTACCAGATTTGAATTGTGGTCACAACATTATGTATACCCGTACAATTACATTTTATTTTATTATTGTAGATAAGATTACCTTCTGTTTGAGCTTTTTTATTTTCATGAACAGTACTTTTTTTTTTCAAACTTGAAGTACAGTGCAGTTTTTCAGTACAGTTCAGTTGTATTTCGCTACAGCAAAAATACATATTAAAAATAAATATTTTTTGAGGTGTTGAGAATCACGGCATTTCATTTCAAAGATACTTTATGTTACCATGATTTGAATTGTGGTCACAACATTATGTATACCCGAAGAATTCAATTTAATTTTATTATTGTAGATAAGATTACAGTATTTAACTTTTAGCTACAGCAAAAATACATCTGCCATAAATCTCCAAATCTTTTAAAAATGTTGAAGTCAATTTTTAGAGGAGCTCATTTTCAATATTAGTTTAATCTTTATTTTCGTCCATTTGTTTTTCTTTTTTGGGAAACGAAGGCATGAACACTTCCACCGACTGCACTACTGTGTTTTAATGTTGGTCATTGCAGTGTTACATGGCGAGCCACCGGTACCGGTAAATATTTTTTGAGGTGTTGAGAATCACGGCATTTGACAGTGCAGATGTTAAAGAATGTATGTACCGTGAACAAATGTCTAATAACATGGTGGTGTGGACCCAAAGGCACTTTCACAGCATGGATGAGTTCAGTCGCTACGAGCTGCTGGACTCCACCACGCACCGTTCGGTCGCCGAGGGCCACAAAGTCAGCTTCTGCCTGGAAGACACGTCCTGCGACTACGGCTACTACAGGCGCTACGCTTGTACCTCACACACTCAGGTGCTGATAATAAGCTAATGCAAAGGTGGGCAAAGTATGGCCTGCGCCGAGCATTTACATTCTCAAGAGTCCTATAACTCTTTTTTTGATTGACGATCATGATGAACCCTGTTGCTAACCAAAACAGCAGCACACGCCAATGCACCCGAACAGATTAATCAATCAGTGGTCTTATTGCATGGTGTATACGAGTTCAGTGGTTGTTTTATTTTTTTCCTTCAGAATTCTTTAGAGTTGCTTTCATAAAACGCACATAACTGTATGATAAGTGATTGGTTATCCAGATCATTCATACTGGTACTGCCCATTATGCAGGGCCTGAGTCCTGGATGTTACGACACCTACAATGCAGACATCGACTGCCAGTGGATTGACATCACGGACGTGAAACCGGGGAATTATGTTCTCAAGGTGTGTCGTGTGGAAATGTCACCAAATGCATTTACTGCATCCTCTTCACCATCATCTTCATCTTTTTTTGTCCGCAGGTCAGCGTGAATCCTTCCTATCAGGTGCCAGAGGAAGACTACACCAACAACATCGTGCGTTGTGAAGTCCGCTACACGGGCAACTACGCTTACCTGTCCGGTTGTCACCTGGCAACGTACGAACCGACTTGCCGTATCTTACATACGATCTTATAAGTATTGTCCTAATGTGATTCAATGTTACTTTTCAGGTATTAATGGAGGAGAATCGTTCACAGCATCTCAATTGTGAAGCTGACATTGAGGATGACTGCATATGAACATCTTTACAACACAAGGAGTCCTTGTTTAACACCGTTTGATACTCCTAGTTTATATAGTTTAGGTATAAGTAGAAATATTTTTCATTGCATGCCACGTCCCTTCAGTAATGGTTTTCTTATTATTTCATATTTTATTATTTACTTTTAATCTTTCTTTTCTTCCCTGTGAAGTATCATAATAAAATCATTAACATCTATAAAAATGACAACTGATTACAAATAATTCAATTACTGTACATGACTTATTTTTAATTTACGATAAAATTGTACAAGATGTGTTGTTTTTTTAATGGCAAAATTTTGTCATTACTAATCTTATTTGAATAAATGTTTGTGGTAATGTATCATTTGCAAGAAAGATCCATTTGAAGTGACGTGCCTGTCTTTTTCTGTGTGTATGTGTTTTCTGTATGTTGGGAAATGCTTTTCTGTCTCCACCTTTCATCTGTCATGGAAGCTTTAACCTGTATTGTAATGACATTTTGTCTCATTAATGTAAACCATATTCTCTTCTAGTGTGGTATATCATATTGTCAAATTGCATCAACGTTTGAAATCCATCCACCCATCATCCAACTCTTTTTTTTTATCACAAATATACCTCATATTCTTGTTCATTGTGGTTCAATGTACTGTACCGTGGTACTGTAACCTCGTATCAACAAATCAGAGGAAAAATCTCTTTTTCTCCTAACCGCCGTTAGAGGACGCTAATGAGAACTAGCTTGTGAGAAAAAGTATTGAAACTTGAGCTTTTAGAGTCCTTCAATGCGCACTTATTTCCTTGTGGACTTCTGGCGTCATCAACAATCGACCCGTCTGTCCTACAATAAAGGCAGTCGTCAATAATAATAATAACAACAATAATAATAATAATAACAGAGACTTTCACACACAATGACAGCATCTCACTGTTTTAATTAATAGATTTTATGTTTGTTACTCTCTTAATGTACATTATTTAAGGCAAGTGCCCGGATGTGTTCCCGCTTCCCCGACGAGAAGCGGGCCAGTACGCGAGGCATTGTGGGATATGTTCTGCAGTTAAAGTCTCGAGGCACTTCACCGTGTCCCTACGAGGCGAGCGAACTAGCACGCGAGTACGAACTCGCGTACTTGTTTTTATACCTCATATTCTTGTTCATTGTGGTTCAATGTACTGTACCGTGGTACTGTAACCTCGTATCAACAAATCAGAGGAAAAATCTCTTTTTCTCCTAACCGCCGTTAGAGGACGCTAATGAGAACTAGCTTGTGAGAAAAAGTATTGAAACTTGAGCTTTAAGAGTCCTTCAATGCGCACTTATTTCCTTATGGACTTCTGGCGTCATCAACAATCGACCCGTCCGTCCTGCAATAAAGGCAGTCGTCAATAATAATAATAACAATAATAATAATAATAATAATAACAGAGCCTTTCACACACAATGACAGCATCTCACTGTTTTAATTAATAGATTTTATATTTGTCTCTAAATGTACATTATTTAAGGCAAGTGCCCGGATGTGTTCCCGCCTCCCCGACGAGAAGCGGGCCAATACGCGAGGCATTGTGGGATATGTTCTGTCGTTAAAGTCTCGAGGCACTTCACCTTGTCCCTACGAGGCGAGCGAGCTAGCACGCGAGTACGAACTCGCGTACTTGTTTTT